GCGGGTAGGTTTGAGCCCTCACACTGCCACACTGCCCCCTATATTCATATATTCTAAAATGCATAGATTCATACTAAACCTAAGCAAAGCGTTTTCTGTTGGAATCCACGGGGTCGGCGGAGGTGAGTGCAAAGTAGGAGCAGAGGTAGAGCTGGTTGGAAGTTTGAGAAGACTTGTGGAGAAGACGGTAAAAGTGATAAAGAATTCGTTTTTGTTGGAGTCTGGAAGGGAAAGCTAGAAAACCCTTCAGCACTGCCTTAAACACCTAGTGAATCTAGAAAACCATATAAAGATGCAGAGTACCCATTTCATCGCAAGGCCTCCATCGAATCTGCTCAGCCAAAGCTTCTTCGCACCCACGCCTGTCCTGGTACGATCGAGAGGCTGTCCTTCCTCAGAAGTCGGTAGAGGCTCAAATACAACATTTTCCTATTATAGTACTCTCCGATTAATGTTATTGGCATGCCCCTTTTTACGATATAGTAGCACCATAAAACTGGTACTTTATTAATCGGTTATCATCCCAGCGTATTATGTTCGAAGAGATAGAACACAAATATAAATGTGACATTCATTCCTGCTAAGCAACCGCGCGGTTGGACAAAAACGCACATTGATTCTGTAAGAGAGGATGTTGAAACGAAGAAGTCATAATCAAAATAAACTAATGTCGTAGCTGATAGGACAAACTGATGGGAATAGCTTTAGGTATGGAAAGCCCTCGACTCGCGAGTACTTAATATCTGCAGTGCAACCAGTATACACTAGCCCGGAAGGCTGCTTAAATTATTGAATCTCCAAGAGGAAGTACCTGGAGAAAGCTAGCATATAGAGCTTTTTGTGAAATCCGTTAATCATTGCATTCTTTTTCTGTTTGGAAGAGGCAAGTTGAGATTTTTTTTTATTTAGAACCCAACATCACTAAAACCACGCCATTTGACCTATTTTGCCGCTTCATTTGGGAGTGATTCGGCCCGTGAACAACCTACGAGAGCTTGCTAAAATGTACAGCAGTAAAGATTTTAATGTATGTACTGAAAGAATATCTGGATAACATCATTATATACTTAATCAAATGGGCTTATCATGGTTTTTGCAATCTGATTCGGGGTTGGCCCCTTGAATGAAGTTTGGGGCTTGTGTTGAATGTCAAAAAAAAATGTTAGTCTGTTGGTCTTCAAGGCGTGTGGCTATTGGAACCTTTTTTCCCTCTTTTTTAAATAGTTGTATCCCACAGTACCCGTACATGTTCACTAGTATCTTGGCGGAACCCGCAAAATATGGGTTCTACTAACAGGTACTTATGTTATACAAGGTACATTCAACTACGCGTGACTGAGTCTCTGATGTCTAGCTTTCGTTATGTAAAAAGAAGTGTGTCCCCAGCTTAGTCGAAGACGATTTACAATACTATATAATATTAATACTGCCCATTGCATGAGTTGAACACCAAATCTGCAACACCTACGATAGAAGAAAGATTCCTTTCTTCCCTACAGCGTTTTCGCGAGATGGTAGCATATTTTCGTACATAGTTTTGCCTTACGGTGGGCTCACGAGGAGTTAATAGGGTCTATATTAACGACTCAAGATTGAGGTTATCACATATTCCTACGTGTCAGACTTCTTCGGTTCAGGGTGGTGTTTACAAACACCGAAAATGTTAGACAGCAAATCCAAAATACCACACCCTACGTGTAGCAATAGCCACGTAGCAAGCAAACGACAGACACCCACAATACAGTATATTCTCGACCAGATTACAATCCAAAAATTCACTCCACTCAACGTCCATTTCCAAGTCACCAGCTAACAGCACGCCTATCGAACGAAGTGCCCAATCCAAACACAAATACATTCCACCACTCACATCACGTAAACGGAGAATCAGGCTAACACTCCAATGGGTTCTCCTCTCACTCCAATTTGTTTTGATTTCACCAGACTGCCAGCACAAACCCAGAGTCATCCAACACGCAGCGATTCCGCTAACGAACGACCACTTGGGTCGCAGAATCTGCATGAAAAGCGCAGCCTCTCCATCCGAGCACTTCAACAGACACCAAACAACCATGAACCAAGCAAAAACATTGGCCACTAGTCGGCTTGGTTCTCCACTTGACAACTCGGACCTCTTCGACTTGATTCGCACCTTTCAACTCGACACTTGCCGCCTCGACATGGACCGTGACTCGTACTTTGGTCTTGGTGCTGTCTAATTGACAACCTTCATGCAGTACATTCTGTCGCACACGTCCGTCGACAACACTGCCACTAGTTACGCATGCTCTTGACGCAAACACGAATACATCTGCTCCACCATGTACACTCAATGTCACCACCCACAATGATATCGCCAGGAAACTACAATCTCCTTTGATGAATAGCACGTCACCAAATCGAAACATCCACGCAACCAAAAGTCAAAATCTCGAATAACCATCGCTCCAGCAGAAGGAAAAACGAAAAGTATCAACCACACAACAAACTCCACATATGTACACTGGAACTCTGACACGAACACCATCAACGCCATTGCACAATATTCCCACGGTACCGTAAGCACTGCCACGAAACTCGCTAGAAAGCACGATCACGTCCTCCAATCGACTCCATATCCATCCAATGAACCATGCTTGTCTTAAACTTGATTGTCTTTGATTGCTTCTCGTATGTGTCTCCGCAAGTATGTCCGCCTAACGAATAGCGTTTTGTACACAAATAAAGCATGTTTTTAACAGCACCTAGTAACAAACGTTGACCTTTGCTCTCACTTGACTTGGTTCGCCAAGCATTGAGTCTACTCGCTTGGTTTGATCGCAATCTCCCCTCCCTGGACACTTCACACGTATCGAACTGCACACTATCAAAAATTATGATATGAACTCAAGCATCAGGAACATACTGACCGGACCGGAGCTTGATCTCTTCCGAGCACAGTACTGTATCACAAAATCACGAGCACAAACACTTCTGATTTCATTACAATGAGACGTCAAAGCAATCATTCACGAATCACCGTGTACCCACAACTCCGGGTTATCTTAAATTAAATCATCAAAGCAAGCAAAAAGTCATAACGAAACCAGCAAAACCACAACCACTGCAAAACAAGATCAAAAACAAAAACAATATTCCAACCAGTCTCCAACTGCGCACTACTGCTGCGACAAACTCCACACGAACGAACAGGTCGCATCCACAATCAAGCACCAAATACTTCACACTGCGATTTAATTAAGCCGTTCCGAAACACAAACGTCAACACGAACCACCAACACCACTGCACCGCCAGCACACCCAAAATCAGAAACGAGACCACATGCCAACGTGACTATACCACACAAATCCATAAAATGACACATACAAAACATAAATTTGGCAGAACAGATTCGAACCTCGACACCCTCATAACTCGACCGGCTCTCCACGTCCCCATACTCCACATAGCAATACAAAGTTGTAGTGGCCGAATCCACCATCCAGTACAGCACATTATCTCCACAAACGCAACGCCACAGAGAGATTAACAAACGACAATCCAACACACAGACGGAACGTCACCGTTAACTTCATATCCGTCATACCCAACGAAAACCAAGCACAGACTTTAAGCACAACAATGTCATGGGTCCCCGTTCACGTATTCTCCATAGCTAAGAAATCTACCCCACGCCAATCAAAGCACAACAACTCACACCGACAGTGGTATACACACAACCAGATATTTCCACACAGTAACCAAACGAACGATAACGAGACAGAATACCAATCTTCAAAAACAGTTTATCTTGCCTTGACCGTTTATCTTGTTTCCGCGTATCTGTCTACAGACTACAGAAGCACAGAGTTGCACAGTTTACAAAGCAAACCCATGGCACGAGCCATCGCATCAGGCAGAACTTGCACGCCAAAATCTCCCAAAGACACTTCGAAAACAGTAGGAACAACTGATAACTTACGCTTGCCTGGTAATTTGCAGTTTTGAATAGTACAGGGCGGATGGGCTTGCTGGTAGATGCGTACGTTGCTCCATTAAATCACCTGCGCTAAAAGAGTTTCCAGGTTGCGTATTGCCATGGCCAAATCAATAGGAAAATACACTTGCCTGGTCGAGGCCGCTCTTTAAGAAACGAAGCAATCTCCCTGCGTACCACGACTTGTTGTATTCCCCCAAATATTCAGTAATATGATAGATGACTTGCCTGGTTTTCAAGGCTCGACGAAGTAGTTTGCAGTGCCTGCACTCCACGATTGTTTTGTCGACCCAAATTACTCAAGAGAAAACCAAGGATTTATCTGATATGGAGTGTCAACGTCAACGATGCTTGCCTGCACTCCACGATATGTTGCACCCCATCCCAAAAGAAAGTGAAGAGGCTACACTTGCCTGGATCGACGTCATTTCAACCAGATCGACGAAGCAAAACGGTCCTGCACGCCACAAAGACCTCGGGTTGACTCGATATGACCAAGAAGAAACACCACATACCAGAGACTTGCCGAACTCACGCGGAACTCCACGAACTTTCACTTGAAAAAAACATCTTATTACTCTAAAATAGCACTCGTCACACATGCACAATGCCACAAATACATCGAGCCACTCCAACACCCACTTAGTTAACACAAGAAAACCCGAGCAGCTCACCGCATTCTACGCATCAGACATCCAGCTTATACGACTCCAGCGCTCACTATACAGAAGCACAGCACGCAGCACACAAGACACTCGACGCTTTCATCCAACTCACTCGGCGTCTTCCACCTTCACGCTACGAAGCGCACAGTCTCAAGGCAGCCTCAAGCGTGTAGAGCAACAACAGCACCTTTAACCAGAGATGGCAACATCAGAGAGGCCCTTTAGGCAGTTGAGGCCGCCTACGATCAGCTTCGGATGACTATACAGACAGGAGCACACTGCTCTTCACCACTTGAGCTCTTGGCCGCTTGTTTGCTTGTGACCTAGAGCTCAGGCTGGTCTTCAGTTCGGTGAGACACCGATCTGATCGCGCTTCGGATTGGCCAAAACAAATTTTACAACAGCTGATTGGCGGAATGGATTCTCGCTTGAGCTGGCTCGAAAAAACACCGTCCAAATCGATATGGCTACAGTTGATCGTCTTCGAGCAGTTTGAAGTAGACTCGAAAATGACGCTTCAAGATCAGGAAGGTGCCGTCTTGTATCTCTCTACTTTGCGCGTATGATCCACATCTGACGCTTGTCACTGCGTCGAAACGTGTTTGGCTTGCTGTAGCAGCTTCAGTGTCGCTCGAGCGTATCCAGTCGCTTCAAAAACTCTGTCTCAAGGCCATCGGACGGAAGTTGCAGCATTTTTACAAGTACAACGCGCTTGTAAAGACCGTGTAATTGTAGAATTTGCTATTAATTTCGTGGTTTATATTACTGTGACAGCTTGCGACTGCAGCCAGAGCTGATGCAGACGCTCTCTGTGCCGGAGATGCAGCTCATTTACGCCTACGACCTGTCCAGACTGGACGTGTTCGAGGCTCAGGCTTACCTACACATGATCGACAAGTGGTGCACCAAAATGGAGCGCAACAAACGGCGTCAGTGAGTGATGCAACACTTAGTGATTGAATTCTGGGTCTGTTGTGTGATACTGTCGCTGTGTAAAGTCTTGAAACGACCTCGAAGCGAGTTGATCGGGCAATGAAGAGGTTTCTACACTACGTGTTATCGCCTCTCACCGAAAATCAATGTCGTGAACCATATCGTGAACTTGCAGCTGTAAGTATGCAGTGACTGTTATACTGCCAGCTCAAAAAGCGTTGGTCTGACTGGGCAGCGGATTGCAGGCGATTGGCTTTATAACACCGCCAACGTTGAAACTGCGACCGGTGAAAGCTCCGGTGAAGCGTAGGAAGAAATGGATTTCAACTGGAACCAAGAAGCAAAACGACGTTGATGCTCAAGAAGGTCCTAGTCTACCTCCAGAATCCCTTGTTCAGAGCGAGATTGTTTGCTCCCGTTTACCTGTCGCCAGTGTCGGCTGCGGCATCATTGCGGTATGTTGGTCCGTGCTACCTTTCGTACTGGTCTTGTAACAAAGACGGTCAATGCTGCAGGATAAGCTTCAGCATTCCAGCTCTGTAGTAAAGTTGCGTCTGAATCACTGTCAAATTACTGACGCTGGGGCTATTCTTCTCGCGAGTGGAGTACGAGTACGTCACTAGTATCCATCGTTTCCCTATGTACTTCAAGTATTTTGGAAGCTTCTAAGCTTGATGATGCCACACAGCTTACAACCACGCTTCAACTGCTGGATCTCAGTAATGACGATACAGATTGTTGGGGAGAAGACGATTTGGACAACGAGATCGGAGCCGATGGCGTTCAAGCCATTGCGCTTGCATTAGCCGAGAACCGAAGCATCAAACAGGTACAATTGTCATCAACCCGGTTTTTAGTAAGAATTACAAACCCCTACCAATGCTGCGTGAAGGTTCATTTGAGCGGGAACCCTGTTGGGACTAAAGGAGCAATCGCGGTAGCTTCGATGTTGCGAAGCAATGTGACCCTCGAGAGACTCTATCTTGATCGGTAAGATTTATTTATCTGGTTTGTGTTTGCTTCGATTCGAGTTGACAAATATACATGATTTCATGGTACAGAACTGCAGTGCAGGACGGCGCCGAGTCTCTTATTGACGCATTCCAAGAATCGAAATCGTAATTGACATGTTGGCTGCTTTTTGGCGTAGAATTTCTAACTAGGTTCTTTTTACGATGTGGAAATGTAGCCTCAATCGATTGAGTATGCTGTGGTGCAGTCTGCGTCCAGAAATCGGCGCTAAGCTGGCTTCCATCCAAGCTACCAAAACTGCGCAATGAAGGAGAGCTCGTGCTATGACCTTAGCGACTACATTTTTACTAAAGAACACCAGTTTATGATATGATCATCGGAAATCTTATAAACATTAGACACGGCACTCAACAGACTATAACAAAGTAGACACGAGGATAGATCAGCTATGGCAGGTGCACTACCTTGGTAGGTGATTGCACCCGCACCAAGCAATCTAAGGGGACGAGACAGGTTGGTGGTGGGTGCTGGCCATGTACGCGTCAGCTTGGCGGATCTTGGCTTCTTGGCTCGACACCAAGGCACGAAGACGCTTATTTTCCTCCTTGGACTTTGCCAGTTCGTACGTTTCGCGAGCAGCGTGTTCACGGGTCTTGGGAGACACAACGCGGTATTTACGCAGCTCATTCAGACGCTTCTCAAGCACCAAGGACTCCTGTCGGAGAAATGCCACCTCTCTCTGTAAATAATAAGCCAAAGCTAAAAGTTAGCACTTTTATCCTTTCAAATCGTTTAGACGATACTCATCAAACGTACCCTTCGAGCAGCGTAAGTGCACTTCTTGGTGCGTTTGCCGAGCTTCTTGATCGGCTCCGAGTAACTCCGGACCATCGTTGGGATCTTTAGAGCTTCCGGTGCCAGGAGGTTCATGAGATCCTGCACCTCACGTTTGGAGAATCCAGGGTTGAAAGCGTCCACTGCCGTCGGTGTAGACGTCGGATTCAACGGGGTGAATTCGTCAACGAACTTTTCATTGCAAGTCTCGACCTTCATCATTGGGGTGTCGACATCATCGGCTGCGATCAAGCTCAGGATCTCCGGGTCAATGGGTTCGAGATCGTCGACAGAGCGAGCAGCGAATACTGGTAGAGGTTCCAGTGACATGGTAGTAGTGTGGTAGTAAGTGAGATGAATCAACGTGCGAGGGCACGAGGAAATTGAAAAATGTGATAGGAGGCGAGGCGTTTCGATGGAGTGCCAGCCGTCCAACACGGTCACCGTTTATGCGTGTGCAGCCTCGACTTGACTGACGTACTCGACACCTATCTCCAACATCCTTCCCAGCCGAGACGTTGGCCATAAGCTTGCCCGTGAGCCATACCGATATTTTTTACATTGTTGCCACACCGCCATCAGGTGACATGGTTCCGCTCCGAATATTCGTCGGCCGGTATCCACTCACTTGTTGCAATGCTTGACTTGTAGCATGTACACTTGAAGTTGTTCGACTGGACGCTAAATGGAATAGAGGAGACTGAACCTCACCACATGCTGGCCAGCGACTTCGCTGCATGTTCGTCTACCAGAGGGGGCCTTCCAGCTGGTCGACAGCGGAAAATAAATCGCTCCAGCTCTTTCCGACACAGGAGCACTAGACTCCGGTGATCGAACATGTACTTGTATGAACGACATCCGATTGGATTTTCTTACCGGGGTCGAGTCGGTTCGAACACCTGAAGATGCCAAGAAGGAGGCCCAGGTGGTCTGCTACGAGGATCGTGCGTTGATACAGGACGCCATAAGCAATCATGAGGACCATCCAGCAGTCACTGTGGTGTCATATTGCACGCCGCCGCAATCGGACGACTTGAAAAAAGTCTTCATGTGGCTGTTGTGGCTGTTGACATTGTGCGCGAAAATGGTGGGCGCTGCACAGAGCTACGGTTCCCCACTGTCTGACCAGCTACTACGTCCAAGACTCGCGCGGCGACGCTCCTTTGCCAGTATTCAGTGAAAAAAAATAAGCATGACTTAGCTATATGAATTTATTTACCACGGTGAATGCCAATAATTTCTTGGTGCACATCTAACCACTGAAGTTACAAGTATTGCCTCGTCTTACTCATCAGAACCTGGACGCGCCTCTGCATTACGCTCCATGGGGGCTTAGAGAAGCATACTAACGGATAAAAGATTCATGGAGCGGATGGGAGCAACATGAACACCTCCATCGCTTAAAAAGTTTGTTTTTTGTTATGGAGCTGTTCAGGATCCAGATCTGATAACTTCAGGAAAAAAAAAAAGTCTGATAACTTCAGAAAAAAAAAAAAGCATTGAAGTTGCTGAAGGAGGGTAACGTAACTAAATGATGGCTACGTCCTCTTAAACGAACTATGACTACCCTCAATAAGCAATCATTTTAATTAGTGCCAGTGTCTGGATAGGGCGAATTCCCCATTCCAGCAATGCAAGACCAGCATCAAGAGACCGCAGATGCTGCCAGACCTGCGAGACCTCCGGCGCCCGACAGCAATTTGAGCCACCAAAATGTAGTGGTGACTGTTCCTCCCTTGGAGAAGACGGTGTTTGTCACGTGGCAAGAGTTCCACGAGTATTTAAACGAGTACCAACAACGCACGTTCCAGATTTACTCTGTGCGCACGGGGACACCAGTTTCCACGAGAAACAAGAGGATTAAGGAACGATACACGAAACGAGGACTAGCGGTACCTCCAAGAGAACTGCTACCTGAAGAGATGGGTACATACAGTAAAGCAGTCGTATGTACCCATGCTGGGAGACCCAGATCGAGAGCTACTGGAGTGAGGGCGAGACAACCGTCGAGAGCTATTAACTGCCCGGCGCAGGTAGGATAGTGACAGTATTTTTTTTTATTGTATTTGTATCTTATCTATAATTTTTTATTTGTAAGATTAATTTGGTGCTACGACGAGATTATACCAGTGGAAAATGTTTTGTGTACGTGAATTCGCACACAACACGGCACAACCACGCGCTGTCGGATGGACAGTATCGCAGACACCCCAGTATCCGTAGAGTGACAGACCCCGGTGTACTACGCACGGTGCATACTTTGCAAAAAGCGAACGTGGAGCCATCCAAGATCTTGAAATATGTACGCGAACATACGGACAAGGAAGTGAAGATGAAAGATGTCCACAATCTGCTGGCTTCGTTTCGAAAGAGTCCTCCAGAGGCACCACCCAATACTGCACCTACTGAAACTTCTGCAGTCCCTACTGTCGCTGTACAGACTCAACCATCAACGCAGACGTCGGCAGTATCTGAACGGCCTGGATTTTCTATCAGAAGCGCCTCACGTCCTCCAGCTGCACCAGCGAGGGAAGTCCCAACGCAGTATGGCAAATTCTTAGCAGCTTTCAATGTTGGCAAGGAGATCGCTGAGCTTATGGCGGAGATGGATCCAGAGCGGTTTGCTCAGTGCTTCGCGGAACTTCGAATGTTTTTGAGAATTATTGAGAGCGGACGGGTACCTGTTGTCACGACTCGTGAAGCATTCGGACATGTACAAAACAATGTTATGACGGGCGTTCCAAACACTCCAATCCCACAGCAGAGTTTCCAGTTAGCTACCCCGAATACTGGACCTCCAAGTAGCTCTAGTGGACCCACTGAAGACAATGGTGAAGCTACAAACAGCCTCATTAGCCCTTCACAACCGTACTCGTCAAGTCAGTGAGTTACTCAGATTATCAACAACTTTCAGATTTTTACTAAGTAAAACTTATCAAGTGTATCCATTTTCCTGGCTTTTAGTCGTCGCTAGCTTCCCCTCAATGTAGCTATTAGTTGACGTACCACAGATCTCCCACGCTAAAGCCGTCTGGTAAGCTCTCGATCGCCAGTCCGAGTTCTTTGGAGAAAGTAGGCGGTCGATCATGGTTCTTGTTGACTGCAGCGTAGTAGGCTGCGAAGGCGTCCATGGAGCTAGCATAGTCCTCTTCGATCTCAACGTCGTCCATCTTACGAGGCTGTCGCAGCTGTTCCAAAGGAGCTGGTTTCTCCTCGACTTCAAACTCGACACCATAGATCGGATTCGTCGAGAAAACGCTGTGCAAGCTCTGCATTTCCTTGAAAAGTTCATGAAGACGTTCTTCCGGATCCACTCGGAAGCCCAAAATGTAGCCACCACTAACTGCCGACGTCTCAATGACCAACGCTGGCCCGAACTTAGAGCCTCGAATACGAGCCGAGTTGATCTGCATGTATGGAATGCTTACGTTGAAGTTTTCAGCCAGATTTGCGTGCCACACGATACGAACGTTGGTTACGAAAAATGTACCCAAGTTCCCTTGGTCGGACGACAAGTTCCAGACGCCGTTCAGACGCGTGTATACCTGTTCATGAGGGAGCAACGTCAACTCCTTCTCCTTGATGATCGCTCCTCGAAGTTTCAGCTCTCGATAGAGCTTGGTGGTCTCGTAAGACCGAAATACAGCTTGGATCGTGGTGAAGAGTCTGGGGCTGGCCTTAACGAGACTCGTGAAGATGAACTCGAAGCGACTGTTAGCGTACTTTGTCATTACGTACAGCGCCTGCGTGCTACCCCGTAACTTTGACGTGGCCGTGCGGATCTTGAGGCTCTGGATGCAGCTATAACCGATGCTCAGATTCGTCCGCACAGACTTGTGTGAGGCCCACAGCAGCCTCAAATTCGTGATCTCCAGAGACCCACGGTCTCCGTTATTGCCCTTCGTGTCCTCGACCGAGTTGATGGCATCCACTAGCGTTTCCCCCTTACGAAGATGCATAGCAGCCGCTGAAATGTCGAAGCGGATCTCTCGATCCTGCCATGTCAACGACTCGGGCGAAGCACGGATCTCCGCAGCCATGATCGTTAACGTATGTTGAAGAGATCTGAAAATGGCTAACCGACGCGTCCACTCAACATTAAAGATGGCTACACAGCCAAATGCATCTCCATTTGTGTTCGCTTAAGGTGTCTACCGTAAAAATACGGCGTCTCACCTCTAAAAGCTACTTTAAACTCTTACGCCAGCAAGCGTTCCATTGTCTGCTGTAACAGCGCACTGAACGCCTTCTGCTCGAGCTTGAGGCAAACCTTTGTGGTACCGGAGTTGTCGAATGTGAGCTCAAAGAGCGCCACGACATTAGTCATGGTTTTAAGCGAGAAGTACGCGACCTCCTTGCCGTCAATAGGCCGCTTGGCTACATAGAAGACGTTATTGCGTCCCAACCGCTCAGATACAGCATCGACGCCACGACTTCCAGTAGCCAGCGTAAAGTAGTGCTCGTTGGCCTCTGCAATACTCTGCCACATGCTGATGAACTCGGTTGAAGCCATACTGCCTGCCTCCGTGAAGACAGCTGACAGATCCAACTCCGACTGGAAGTACACGACGTCACCACTCGAATTATTCTTGATCGCCACTTGCAGGTTCAGATTCGGAGCCACCGAAGCGTTGACGAACTGAGGACTCACACCCATGGGTACAACCTGGTTGACACTTTGGCCAGGCGCTAATGGCTGCGGGAACGTCACGGTCGCCTGCATGGGGACCACACCGAACGTGCTCTTGTTGAACTGGATACTCACACCGGCGATCGGTGCATTCGACTGGTTCTCAAAGTCTACGTCCAATACAAAGGTCCCATTGCGTCGAGTGAAAGCTCCGGTCATCTGCAGTCCCTTTCCTTGTTGAGCATTCATCAGCATCTTCTTCTGAACAGAGGAGGATCCACCTGATACTGGAGCGGGTGGAGGTGTCGGAGCACCGAAAATGTCGACCAAGCTCGCACTCGCGGGTGCTGGAGCGGTAGGGGCCGGTCCTCCCATTGATAACCCTCCCATATCGAGTAGGTCCACGGCTCCTTCAGACTGAGTGGCTCCCTCTTCAGGCTGGTCGGAGGAGCCTTCGTCCTCGTCTTCGTTGCTGTGGTCATCATCCTGGCGGTGTTCGCGTAGCTCCGACACAGTTGAACGGACAACGAATGCACTTGGGACCTTGTGGTAGACACTGGCAAGCGTCGAGATTTTACCAATCAGATCGTCAAGAACCGAAGACTCGAGCGCGAATGTGTCGTCACTGATCACTGGTTTCTCTGCCAACACAACAGCGTGAGCAGCTTCCGGGTTAGCCGACAATAGCCGCCAGTACACGTAGCCTCGGTCACGTAAGTCCGGGTTGTCCGACTCCTCTGTGGCCTTGTGCAGCACTTTTTGAACCATTTCTTGGGTCTCATTAGGACGCTTCAAGAAGAGCTTGACAGTAGCAGTCAGAAGCTGTAGCTGCACTTGGGCCGTCTCATCGTCGAATGAATCCATGAACGACTCCAGCAACTCATCAGCGTTGTCGATACGTTCCGCGTATTCGCCAATAATCCAGATCATGGACGCCTTGGCTTCAGGTTCGTCCAACGTATCCAAGTTCTCACAGAGCGTAGCAATGATACTCTCGTACTGGTTCGGATACTTCCGGAAGATATCCTTGATCACGATGATGGCTTCCTGCACGATATAGTTCACCTTGGTCTGAATGAGTTCCAGCAGCACATTAATGCACTTCTCGGCTGCACGTTCGAGCTTGACAGCGCAGCGACCGATAGCACGCACCGAGCGGCGTACAAACTCCACATCCACCTCAGTAGCGTACTCCTTGAACTCCAGCAACACCTGCTCAATGTTACGCTCCGAGACGAGACGGATGATGATCTCCAGCTTCTCCATTTTAACGTAGATCGGGTCATTGTACTTGCAGAAGAACACCTTGATCTCATTGGCCAAGATGGCCGGACGCTTCTGCACGATCAGGTTAATGTTGCGCAGCGCCACGTACTGGATCTCCGGCTCAGCGGACAATAGCGTCACTAACGGAGGAGCCATCTTACGGGACAGACTGCGCTCCGTATCAGCGTCCGATACTTTCTCCAAGAACTTCATAATGACCTTCACAGCGGACAATACGACGGCAGAGTTAGCGTGTTGCAGACGAGGTGTGACGCGCTCGATGATCCCCTCGGCCTCTCTCGAGTCTGCAGGAGTGTATGCAGCCAACGCGTCGAGCACGAAGACCTGTCCCCACTCGTTGCACTCGTTTAGAGCCGCCAGAAGCTTCTGTAGCACCGACTTGGTGATCTTGAAGGCCATAGCGCCCCCACTGTTCTCCGAGATCTCGGATAGAGCGGCGATAGCGTTAGCGACAACCGTCGGGTTCGAGTCCGAGATCAAGTCCCGTAACATGTCGAGGAAACCCTGTTCCTCTACCATATCCGGGTTGATGTCATAGAGTTTAGAGACGCAAATGGCTGCAGTTTTACGGACATACGGATCCTCGTCCTGTAGACAGCGACGCAGTGGCTCACATAGGTACTCGGTGATACGGTCCACTCGGATACAGCCCATAGTGCGCACTGAGAGCGCACGGATGAGTGGGTTCGGGTCGGCGGCGTCTTTTACGAACGTATTGACGGCCAGGATGGTTAGATCCGGGTTACTCTTGGCGTAATTGATGAGGTACAGGTACACGAGCTTCTTGAGCTGCGTGTCGGCCGTCTGGATGCAGTTGACCACATCCGTGAAGAGCATGGATACATCCTTGCCTACGGTCATGTTGGCGATCACCTTCTTTACAGCGTCTTTCTTCTTCTCGCGACTGGGATTGGCCAATTCCTGGCGCAGTTCATGGGTCTCGCCCTTCTTGGTCGTGCTGAAGAACTTGGAGTCGTTCGCGGCGCCAGTCATGCGCTTGGCGATCGCAGCCATCGTGGGCATCGCCATGGTTACAGCAGCTCCCTTTTGGTTACGGGGAAAATAGCGCTTTAAGGTGGGCTGACGAGGCGCGATACCAGATCTGAAACGGACGCGTGGTGGAAAGATGGGATTGGCTGAAAATAGTAAGGCAGTTAGATTCGGGTGGAACACATAATGTAGCCATTATCATGGACATGGAGAATGGCTACATTGAAGTGGTTTTATTCGTCCTGGTCATCTTTATCTTGCAGCTCTATCGCAATGACGTTCTGTGGTAGTGATAGGAACTGTCTGCGAGTACGTTCTGTCATACTGTTGCCTGTAAGGCAAAGCCACTCCAACGTGGGGGTAATTAGTCGTTTTTGACTGTGAAGTTTAGCTGCCAGCACTGCCAAAGGCTCCTCAGTCATGTGGTTGTAAGCCAAGTTGAGCTCGCGCAACGTCCGATTGGTTTCCAGTGCGCGAGTACAAGCCACCAGACCTTCATTCCCAATTCGATTGTGTGCCAGATCCAAACGCTGCAACGTACTATTCGCCGAAAGACACGCAAAAAATCGCGGAGCTTTGGTCGCATCCAGGCCCGAATACGACAAGTCCAGTGCCATCAGTGTCTTATTAAACTTGAGTAGTTCTCCAAAGCGAGCCACAGCATCGGCATCAATACGGTTAGCACCGATATGAAGTATACGCAGTGACCGGTTACAGTTAATAAGCACCTCAGCGATTCGCTGGGCTTGCTCGGACCCGATGCCAGGACCTGCATCCAGTGCGTCGTCGGAGTCTGTACCACCAATATTGAGGTGTTCAAGGTGTTTGTTTCTCTCCAACATCGATGCAAATGCTACTGCACCACGAGAGCCCATCGTATGGTGTTCAATATCCAGCAGAACCAAGCTCTTGTTAACGTCCAGTGCAACTGCTAACGCTTCAGCGCCCGCAGGAGACACGGTATTCCAACGCAAGTGAAGTTCACGAAGTGTGGCAGTACGACGCAAGCCTTCGGCTATAGCTACAACACCTCGTACACGCAACTCGTTGCCCCGTAAGTCCAATCTCTCAATAGATTTGTTACGTATCAGCGCTTCTCGAAAACCAATGACCCCATCGTCACCAAGCTGCGTCCAGCTCAAGTTGAGATAAGTGAGAGCACTACTTGACGCCAAACACTCAGCCAATGCTTGGCCCCCAATAGGTCCCAGTGGATTGTTCTCTAACTCGAGAGTATGCAACGTGGAGTGGTTACGCACTCCATCAGCCAACGCACGAGCTGCTGCGCTGTCGAGCATACAGCTGTTCAACACTACTCGACCGAGATGAAGATGATGCAGCATCTTCTTACCTAGAAATGCTACTTCATACAGCTCCAGTCGACGGCCACATAAGTTCACAGTGACCAGATCTCGATGGTCTCTGCTGTTTGTAGCCAAGTTCACAACTGTCTTTGTAGAACGTGAGACGTCAGGAAGACGCAACTCGTTCAGCTCTTGTGTCAGGCGATTCACAGCAAAACACTTGGCAATAATCCAGCGATCCAAAAAATGCTGCGAATCTACATAAAACTCCATTTTTTCTGGAACTTCTCCAGATTTCTGGTTACCACGTACTTGTTGAACGGAAATAACGGTATCGTGCATCTTGATGGTCAAGAGCGTGCTGTTTAGAGCCACGAGCTCTCCTACACTCTCTCCGGCTTCGGGGAATAGCCCTGTATTACACAGGTTAACATCTCGTAAAGTCGCGCAACTCTTGATAGCAGTTAGTAACTCCAGCACTGCAGTTCTTCCTAATCCTGGGTTATCATGTAGATCTAGGGATAACAACATGCTGTTTTGAGGTACCAGCCCTGCAATAACCAGACCGTCAAGTTCCACCAGTTCTCGGTTAGCGAGATGTATCCATCGCGATGTTTTGACCTTGTCGACTGGGAGAATAGCTCGAACTCCACTTAACCGAATTAAAGCAAAACTCTCGTTTAGATGACGCAGCGCCACAACTATCCGCTTCGCTGAATCGAAGTCGATATTCGAGAGATACTGAGTACCGTCTTCGGCCAGATCACGTCCATATACACACAGTTCGCGAAGAGCAAAGTTGTCTCGCAACGCTGAGAGCAGACCGAGTACAGCTTGCGGACCCATTTGGTTCCAAGAAAAGTCACAGCGTGTAAGCGTCTCGTTTTCTCGAAGTGCTCGACCGAGTTCATCTGCGCCCTGAGAGCCAAGTCGATTGTCACGAAGATCCAAATCTAGCAGCATCGAGTCTGGACTGTCCTCTAAAGCATCCGCGAGGTCGCGAGCTCCATTAGGACCGATCCGATTACCAACCAGACTGAGGTGAGTTAGCGAAGAATTAACTCGTAGTGCTGCAGCCAGAGCACTCATGGCTGCATCATCGATCGCGGCATACTCTAACCTGAGCGATAACAGCGTCTGGTTAACGCGAAGAGCTCGGAAGACTGCAATGGCTCCGTAAGAACCGATCTTGTTCTTGTCTGCACCTTTCGTTATTTTGTTCTTGGCCACGTTTGCTGGATCTCTACGTTTAAATTTCAATGTGACCTTTAGCTTGACTTTGAGTCTCACAGGATGAGACAGCTTGGCGGCCCATTTGTGTTTAGAGTTCGATCTCTTCCGGTGTCTAAGTCTTGTCGCTATCCTCGTAAATCCCAGACGTTTCGATCTGTGAGATCTTCGTTTTGGCTTCTCTTTGACTGGTGGTGGAGGTTGTCCTTGTTGCACAACTAACGATCTTGTGCTGGTGTTGAAAGCCAATCCTGCATGTGCGAGGACTGAAATTTGCGTTGCTGTGATACATGAGCGTCGTCGCTTTTGCTGCATCTGCTGATCATCCAGAACTAAACATCGAGAGGAGATACTACGGCGAAGACAGAGTGTCGTGTACGTCAGTGACAGACCAAGCTGGAAGCAATCATACCATCCAAATGCTGGGATATCGTCAGGAACGGCGTAACTTCTCTCAACCTGGCGACTCTGCTCCACTACCGACAGAGGTCCAGATTTCTCAGTTGAATCGTCAATCAGGAGCACGTGGTCATGGATCAAAGTGCTGTTGACTTCGGTGTCTGGTGCAAAGCTCACGCGTTTTATCTGACGAATTTTCTTCTCGGCCGTGACAGTATTTTCACCGTTAACGGTGGGAATTCCAGCAGTCTTGGGGGTATCCGACGAAGCTGGTGGAGGCACAAATTCAAAAATGCTGACCTGCAAGTCTGGAACGGATTCAACGACGTGAATCCACGCCTCTTTCCGCGGAGTGGCAGCATTGTTGTCGCTCTTGTTGTTATCGTAGTGTTCATCTGTAGATTGTGAATTTTCATCTCCTTCAAGACCTTTACGGCCACTACCCACCAGCTCCGTGTTATGCAGCAGTTCGACAATTGACATCTCTGAGATGGCAGGACTCACATTGTTAGACTGCGAGGAAGACTTGTTTTCAGTGTCTCCTTCTGGAACGCCTAATGTATCCATCAGCGGACGTCTATTCTGCTGCGCAGAATCTCGTCCATTTTCAAACAGATTTGGAGTGACTCTTCAGCCCATTGTTACTCGTTCCAGACAACTACACAGCAGTACAACCATCGGTGATTAACTGCAAAATATATGACCCCCTTACATGTTGCAGGTCTCAACTGCAGTCCCTCTATTGTGAAATTGGGTAGGCACGTTTGATGTGGATCTCCTCACGAGGTCTAATACATAGGAGAAAAAGAAAACACATGCATGAGCTCAAATTTCGTTATAGCATTCCACAAATCCATCTTACCTGTCATTAGCACCCGTCGGTACCATGCCCATGCGCTGAATCACCTTCATTCCCGAGGAGATCCGACCAAACACCGTGTGCTTACCTATTCAACAACCAATACATCAGACCTTCCATTAAATGTCAGCAACATCTCAACGTCTGTACCATCCAGCCACGGTGTCGGTGCCAATGTAATGAAGAATTGGCTCCCATTGGTGTTGGGTCCCGAGTTCGCCTACACCAAAGCACACAACGTCGGTCAATCAACTGAAAACAAAATAATTTCAAAGTTTTTATTTTTTTTTTTTTACCATTGACAGCACTCCAGCTCCCGTGTGCTTGAGCTCCTTGGTGATCTCATCATCAAATTTTGCTCTGCCACCCAATATTCGCATTAGTTCAAGAATGTAGCCATGTGTATCATTGGCTTCCAGTACCCGTAAATGGACTCTCCTCCTCTCCCTGTGCCCGTGGGGTCTCCGCCCTGGATCATGAAGTCCTTAATGATGCGGTGGAAGATAGTGTTGTTGTAGTAGCCACGACGCGCCAGCTCTGCGATGTTCCAGCACGTCCGGGGCGCATGTTCCGTGTACAGCTCCATAGTGAACTCACCCTGGCAAATATTCAACCAGTTAGTACGGAGTTTGCACTGCGACAAATGAGAGGTAAGAGATGCAGTCATATAATGCGTATACGCACCACGGTCGTCTCGAAGACGACGTGCGTCGGGGGCGTGGACGTCGCTGGTGCAGCCATTTTCGTGTGGGTAATGCGAAATTTGATTATTGCGAATCCCTCGTTTTAGTGCCATTTCTAAAGCCGCGATTGATTTAGAAATGACACTCACAATCGCTCCAGCAAGACCAACCGTCGCATTTACAATGTCGACGCCCTTCGTATCGAGCCTGCGCACCTCTCTGGGTGCCACTGGTAGCAATGCAATGGTGTCTGCTGCTCCAGAATCCGCTGCCGGCAAGTCGGCCATGATGTCGATGTTTTCGGACCTGGATTTGGCACTTGACGCCAGTGGAGCTGTCGTTTCCAATGCCAATGGCGGTCGCTCCGCCGCCAAGGACCTACTGGCCTCCAAGAATGCCGAGAAGCAGGCAGAAGCTGAACTTGAGGCCTCACAAGCGCTCAAGAAGCAGCAGCAGAAGCAAATGCAGAAGCAAATGCAGAAGCAGGAGAAACCAGTCACAGCACTGGGCCAGGCCATGGCGCTCTTCGACAAAGAAATGGACGAACGCGACTCGTTCATGTCCCGCAACACTAAGCGACGACAAAAAGGCAGCAAGAAGACGCGAGGAGGAACACCCACACCATCACGCGGCCGTCGCCAACGCCAAGACAAGTACAAACGCGTCTAGAATTCTATTTTGCCATAGCATGCTTATACAGATTTTGACTTGCTCTCAGAAATCTTATTTCTGAACATCCCATTTTGTCAACACACTAATTACTACCAAACCGCTATTCTCAACCTAAAATAATTTATGCTGAATTTATTGCGCGGAATTGGGCTCTAGAGATCTCCGAAAACTGATATCCACCAAAATGGATCGTGAGAGCACGCCGCAGAAGCAGCGCCAGAAGGTGAGCTCTTCCCACGCCCACCTCACCTCCTACTAACGTATAGTGCAGCGCAGCACTAGCAGTCGTCGTGCTACCACCAACTCCGCAGCTCATGGCGCCCCATCCCGAGCCAGTATGAGCTCAATGCCAGGCCCTGCACGCGCGTTCCGGCCGCGTAGTCGCACGGCAGCCTCTCCACCAGCAGCTATAATGTCCAAGACGCCATCCATGCTGCTACGTCCACCCTCAGGTGGCTCACCAGGGCCCATCGGCGTTCTCTACGAGCCGGACGCCACTAGACGCAGTAGACACAGCGTGTCAGACCGAGACAGCCACCTGCAGGTTAACACCAGACCCTCTCCAAGTCATCGACACAGTTCACGAGCAGGTTCTCCAGGTGCCCCACCCCCACGACCCCAAACCCCCTCTACCCTCCAGCAGACCAAGGTCATCCCGCCTTCTACCAGTGTGAAGCTTATTACCCCTCAGATGCAATTTGCAACCGACTTGTCCGTAAATTTGGGGAATTGTCTGGAACTCACGAATTTCACAGTAGTGGGGGTGATGGGACTGGAAAATGTGGGCAAGTCCACGGTATTGTCACTTTTGGCGCAGAAGAATAAGCGAGATAAGGAGATTTTTTCGACTCGAAGCCTGGAGGCGCTGGTGATGGATAGACATGAGACGACGGGGGTAGATCTCGCCATCTCGATGGTAGGGGGATCAGGCCACCCAACGGTGTTGCTGGACTCACAGCCATTACTGAGCAGCTCGATGTTGGCGGATTTATTGGAGCGGAACGAGTCGCCGCGGTTTGGTGCTCTTACACCGGAGCAGCAGATTGAGGCAGCATCCTACCAGATTGCGGTGTTCTTGTGCTCGATTTGTCATTACGTGGTGGTTGTTCATGATGGTTTGGCGTATCAGGCTTCGGTTAATGAACTTTTACGTAAGATTGAGCAGAAGTTTGCGCAATGCCGACTACCCAGTGTGTCGGGCAACAGTCAAAAACACACGGCGCAGTTACTTTACGTGGCTAACAATGTGGCAGACTCGGAGTTGTTGTACCGCGAGAACGAGCTGTTCTCAGCTCATATACGTGCTCTCGAGGCGGCGTGGCCACAATCGCTGGTTCGTGTGTCTAATAACATGTCGACGTACAGTGACCCTGCCGATGATAATGATGTCCTCAATGTGGCGTCATTCGTGCTTCCACATCGACAACAAGTTGCCCGCGGAAACGAAAAGGGGAAGCATCAGACCAAGACCATAACCTTTACGTCCAGTAAATACTCGGAGTTCGAGGAGGCAGCAGAAGACTTCCAGCGATTTGTCCTGAGTTTACCGAGTTCGCCCTCGTTTACGCCACAGGTGTCGACGTCAGTGATGACGCCTGGATCAAAGCCATTGCCACCCCCACACGCGCTCTCTTTACGTGAATGGCTTAGCAATGCCTCCCGTGTGTTTGAAGCTGTGCGCAAAGCTAGCTGTTTCACCGCCGAATACACATCGTCGCGTGATCACCACTAAGACAATCGAACGCCCAAGGTTTCGACATAAAAAATATGAAGACGACAGCGGCGATTTAGCTTCACAGTGTCGGCAGATTTAAGTCCTGCAAGTTAATGAACACTGTGAACATATTCAGCTCGTAGACTTCACGATATCATGCGGGCGTGTTTCAAGTTGCTATTTTCTGAAGTTCTCCATCAATAGTGTCCAAGCTCGGCCAAATGCATTCGAGATCTTCGCCATTAAAAGGGGGTTAACCTTTTAATGGTGTAGATCTCGAATGCATTTGCTCAAGCTACACACAAGCAGATACTCTAGTTAATGACGAGCAGCACGAGGTTCCGATGGATTCCGACGAGCAAGCTCCCGAATGAGCCAAAGCCTTCGAGCGTTACATGATCCAAGAATTGCGTTGCATCCAGCGACAACCGGCAAACTTTCAGGGGGGACAGCGTAACATGCAGGAGACATTCCGCCAAATAATACGAGTGGGTGAGGGCTGAATGGGCAACAAACGACCAACCCGATTCTGGAAACATGGGAGCTGCTGCATACAACTCTCGCGTTGTTGCTAATGCGGCAGTTTGCCGTCGATCGCATCGTTTCCGTCGCTTCGTTAAGGCAAGACCTGATCTTGATAATGAATGACCTTCCAGTCACCCCAGCTCCACTCCGCCAGATTCCTCTGCTCCAAGTTGGTGACGTCGTCCCGCAAGAGTTTTTCCCAGCGACCCCTACTGCGTGCAGCAAGTGGTGTCACGTCAGATCAACGAGCTCAGTATCCTGCTGAATGAGGATTTCAACATCGACCGAGCTGATAGGATTGCAGAGCGGCGTCGCAAACTACTATTCTATCTGTCGAAAGTGTTGTAGACGTGGAAAGCAATCACGAAGATCTGAAATGCTCGCAAGCAAGCACAACTATCTCTTCTTTGCTCAGTTTACCTTGACTTTATCCTTGTCACTGCTGTTATGCCTTCCGACGAACGTGTCCATACCGTTTAAACCCCCACCTAAGCGAACCACAACGTCATACACTGGCACTGGTAGCATACGTGAAATGACAGGGGCCCATGATAAAGCAACCCCCCTCCATCCTGAAAAACACGACACCAACAGCTCGTCCCCACGTCGTATCGAGCGGTAGATCGCATCAACCACTTCAGACTCCGACAGCATTGGAATGCAAAAGCGCGAGATCTTGAGAGCCCAGTCGTCTGCACTCAGAACTCCAGCAAACATTCCCGTGTCCACAGCAGCAGGACAAACCAACAGCGTCCGAATCGACGTGACCTCGTCGCGCCACAGCTCCAAGCGGACTACAAATGAATCATAAATTAGTTAGTACACAAACTGCAGATAACGATGACAGAGCACGATCATCTCACGAGATTCGTGGAAGGCATTCACTGCCGCTTTGCTCGCGCAGTAGTCGGTTAATCCAGCGCTACTGGTCATTCCCATCACGGACGACAGAGTCACTAGCATCGCTTCCGATGCTTTCTTCATGGACGGGAGTGCATTTCTCACTGTCCAGAAATGCGCCAGTGTATTCACTGCGAACGTCTTCTGAATCTGCTCCGGTGTCAAGTCTTCAAGTGACTTCCCCATCACGATACCTAGCAACTCACCGTGAGAAACGTTCACTCCTGCCTAATTAGCAATCACTCCTACATACCAGCATTATTAATCAGCACTCCGATGTGTTTTGGTGCCACATTATCAACCACGCGAGCGATTGTCGCTTCAACCGACCTGTCAACACAGAGCAGCACCTTCAGATGACTCGAATCTCTATCAGCTGTAACTCCGTCACCTACCGATGATCTGCCACATTACACTCGTAAATAATCACCCGTTTGCTTCCCTCTTCAGCGTCTTGGGAGTATAGTAACTCCGTCTGAAGCGCCTTGAGAGCCTCTGTATCAATGTCCAGTAGTGCCAGAACCACGTCTGTCGTCTCTTTGAACACTTTCTGCGTCAATCTCCGCCCGATACCGCTCGCTGCGCCCGTGACCACCACCACCTTTCCTTCTAGAGAGAATGCACGTCCTCTAGTAACCCCCACAGCTCGGACTAGAAGCCACAGCACCAGCAGCACCGCCAACGTGACAAGCAGCATCGCTAACGTGGATCTTCTCCTTTTTACCCAATCAACACCTCTTATCATTAGCTTTTAACCAATCCACAATGAGATACCCTTTTGTAGCCATAATCCAACGTACGCTGTAGCCAAGATCGAGACAGCATGCCGTGCACGATCAAGATCCGGCTGGTGGAGGCCCGTGACATGCCTGTGGTGGACCGCACGAGCAAGCTGGCGGACGCGTACGTGAGCATCACGTTTGCGAGCTTCGAGGCCAAGTCATCGGTGTCCAAGAAGACTTTGAACCCAAAATGGGACGAGGAATTCCGCTTCGACGTGGCCGACGACTCGGTACTACAGAGCCAGCCAATTGAATTCAAGCTCATGGACCACGACGTGTACACTACGGACGCCACTGTGGGCATCGTCTACGTAGATCTCAACTGCCTGCTCATGCGGGATGGCCACGTTATACAGGGCTGGTTCCCAGTATACGACACACTACTGGGAGTTCGTTGTGAACTGAGTTTAGTTATTCGACTTCAGTACTTTGGAGATGTGAACCCATTTCGAGAGTCTTCAGCCGGTGTGCAATTCTTCGGCCTGTCAACACTAGACCCGAGTCTCTACAGGATCGAAAGCATGCTGGGCTTTGTCGAGGAGCTCGTGGTGCATGCAGACCCGGAATATTCGTGGAGTGACAGTTTTCGCACTTCAAGACGCAGTAACGAGCATAGACAATTATTACTGTATAAATTGTCGTCTCAAGTGGCTACACTGGTTGGAAAAAAGGCGTTGGAGCTCGGAGGTAACGCCGTATTGGCCTATAAACAGTTTTTCGATGTGGAAGGAGACAGTGGACTGGTAGCACGAGCATGTGGCACGGCGTGTTACATCACATCAGTGGGGAAGAGCGAGTTAATGTCGGACAATGGCAGTCAACAGCGCACACATAGCGAGGATGGCCTGGACAGTGAACTGAATGTGGATATTGACAATGACGACATCACGTCCATTGGAGGAGAAAGCGTTGAGGCTTTATTGTCGCCTCGGTTTTACCCAAGGCGTGTGCTGAAGGCGCTTAAAGCACCGGAAGCGTTCAATATCTCCGCACATGACGTGAGTTTGGATGAAAAAGTACTGAGATTGTAATAATGCGCTTATCTAATCGATTGTGCTGGTTGTAGGAGGTGCAATTGATCACACTGAAAGTGTTTAATCCAGCTACGAGGATCCGATTGGCTGGGATTGTCAGTGCACGCTCGGTCAAGTATCTTGGCAAGCTAGCGACAAAGCTGGCAGATCAGGAAACTCGAGACTCGTGGTGGCTTGAACTCCGTGAAGAGGTGAGCCTGGCCTAGTTAGTCTTAATTGAGTCGATGTTACACGCTAATTCATCGTTTCTTGCGCAGATCCGAGCTCACGCGCAGTCACTGCAATGCCCCTTTGTTATCGGCTACACGGAGTCATGTACCATTCACGATGATGTCTGTGTCATCTCAGCCTCGTACGTCTTATATCTGCTATACTGCGCTGAAGGTGATAGTTAACGCTACTGTTTATTTCAGAGGAACTGCAGCAGTGATGAAAAACCCTCTTGAAGACAGACCAACTCGACGGGATGTCACTACCAGTTATGACGCGGATGACGATGGACCTGATGCACATGCAGCCTCTTCTCCGATGCTAAGTCTCCCTCTTCCCGAGATTCCTGCTTCGATTGGACGCCGGAGTCCCTCGTTCTCGTATATGACACACCAGCCAATTCCAACAAGAACAAAGCCAAGGTCAGACACCCCAACAATGCCTTGTGTGGTGGAGTTAAACATGTTTCTGACTTGATATCGTTGTCTGCTAAACAGACGGAGCCGCGTATCCAAGTCACCCTGTCTTTTGTGCCACATTCCGTACTCGCGATCACTCGCACCATTCTCAAAGTACGTCGACCCTGCTGCTATTGTATCGAGTATCCTTCTCATCGTAGTATCCTGTTAGTATGAGGATGGTGCGCTGCGGTGTATGTGGAAATAAATGGGTTCCAGAGATGATGATCGCGTCCATCGAGCCTCCTGCTGGTCTTGCGATGATGGGGAAAGGAACGTTTATTCAAGCACGAGTTTGCCGTCAGCGGAGGAAAGGAACGGGCGATGTTAACGCCACCATCGTGTCAGACGCGCTACCATTCCTCGAGTACGAGCTGTATCGCCAGGTACGCGCTGTTTAAACTGTCCTAACCTTGCTTAGAGCACAGTTTGAACTAATTTGGAGGATGTTTTCCTTGTATTTTCAGTTGATTGTGAAGATGAAAGTGCTCGGAGTGAACGCTGTGTTCGCGTTTGACTCGCAGATCCAAGTCGGAGGCTCCCTTATTGTCGGTGTCATTACTGGTACCGGTCTGTACCTCCCTGCTCTCCCACCTCCTCCTACGCTTCGGATCGAGCGAAACATCGACGTGAGTTTATCTTATCGTACAGGGACTGTATATATTTATTAATGTACTTATGCTTATTTCATTAGGTGAAAGACGACGAAGATCGACGTCTTGTTCAGCTTCAAGCACAAATCGAGGAACTCAGCACGTTCAACAAGGACAGAGTACGCTGTTCTTTGAGCAGTATCACTGCAATTTGGTCTAATTTTTGTGATCTTATCGACAACTTTTAACAGCTCCATCGAGACCGTATCTGTATCGTTCAACCTGAGTACGAGTACTACATTGGAGGCAGGAATGCGCGTAACCAGCTCCAGGCTAGCACTTCGCTTTCAGACCAGGACGATGACAATGGGAAGGGATCCAAGCGTCTGTTCCAGTTCACCCAGTCTAGACCAAGACGCGCGCGGAGGAGGCAACTACCACAACCGTCTCCAGACGACGGAGTTGCTATGCACTCCACTACTAATGCAGATAACGCAGCTACAGCAGAGGCCTCGATCACACCGGATGGCACTACTACGCCTCCAGCTCCGGCCTCGCAGACCTCGCTTGACAATGATTCCAAGACACTCAGCTCCTCTTCGGAATCAAGCTCCGAGTCGGAAGAAGAAGCGTTCGTCGATGGCTTCAGCGACTCGAAGGAGACTTTTGTGCTGGAAATCGACGATGAGACCGATGAAGACCTCATGTCGGTGCTGCTGGAGCAGGAATTGCCAGAGGTACGTGATCGATATACAGTAACGATGGAAACTATGGACCAACCTAACATTATTATAACAGGGTATCTACATGTGCAACACGGATCGCCTTCCGGGTGACTTTACTCCCGGTGAGAATGTACATTTGATTGTGTCCATGAAGCGAGTAGAGTGGGATGAAGACCGCATGCGTGATACTCGACTTAATGAGCTGCTATCAGTTGTGTTCAAGGAGCTTTTCGCAAGGTACGGTTGCTACATTCGTTGATGTTAAGCAGTACTAACGTGGTTGTGTGGTTGTTCAGTCTTCTGTTTAAAGTGCGCTCGTACGCTCCCTGTGCCATCTGCGGCTTAAAGACTCGAGTAGCGGTGGCATCCGAAACGATGGTATGTGCATCGTTAGTGTACAAACCTCCCTACTACAGATGGCTAATTCATGTTGTTTGTAGATTGAAGTGGTTCTAAGCGGTATGGCAGTCTTGGAGAAGAACTGGGAAGATCCACTTGATAGTCTTTTCAACAACGCAGCGATTTCTCTCGACATGGAAGAAACACAGCCAGTTGACTCCTCTGACAACACCCGCTCGTCATTACCTGCAGTGCACGACATCCCGCTGTCTGGTAAAACTACAAGTCCCTCCAAGTTACACATTCACATGCCACGGCCTCGAAGCTTTTCACACTACCGTTTGAATAACCCCATGTCAACGGCTATTCCAGCTCCATACGGCCGCGAATGGATTGAGTTGACTCCGCTGGGTTACATTCCTGGTGCTCATGTGACTCGTTATCTCGGTCGTGTGACGCTGCACTTCATTAAGGAAAGTTGGACGGTGCGTGAGAGCGGAGGATTGGGTGCCTTTTACCACTTGTTCCTGAGCGAAGCCATCGCCATCGTCCGAGCCCACGTACGCTCCTTGGGTGGCAACGCCATGTTGACATTCCGTCTCGTGCCCATCGAGTCCAGCCAACTGTATCGCAACCAAGTGTACAACATGATCAGCATCACAGGTGACGTCGTCATGATCGAGCGAGAAGTGGACACCAACGTGTACCCGCCCAATATGTGGAGCAGTAAATCCTCCCACGCAGCTGAAATCGACAAGCTCTCGTCTCTTGACGACGCATTCGCCAACGCCATTATTGAAGACGCAGGCAACATTAACTCCTAGACAAATTAAATAGGCATCTTAATGTCAAAAATAAAATACCGCAGCTCTAGTAAAATTGCTTCAATAGAAAAACAATAAATTAACCAAATAGAAAGCTATCTTTCACTTGAAACTCCGTTGACAAGAGCACTTTAATCCACTGCTGAGGTCATGTTGCAGTAGTTCTGCCACAACTTCTGGATCTGCTAGTACTTCCGCTCTCCATACATGTGCGAAATATTTTTGCGTTTTCCACTTGCACGGGTACTCTCATCTCGAGGAGGTTAGTCAGAGATCAAACGACCGTAGCCACCATCGAAAGCACACACGATCAGCTTCACCTAGAAGGGACTTGATCAACCCTTGCCTTAACTACGTGGGCATTGAGCGGTGAACCGATTGTAAATCTTTCATTGCGAAAAGAATTATCATACTGTAAAACATTTTGTTCTGCAACAGCAACATCGGAGTAAACACAAGCCACCACATAGCAATAACTTGCGACAGGGTTCAAATAACTTGATGAATTTTATCAAATAACCATAGGACTGACAGACAATTTTTTTTTTAACACCGGCATACTTTCAGTAGTAAGATCTGCTTTTATTTTATTTTCCTTCCGCCTCAATGAACTTGAGGTACTTCTCAAACGCAAATATGCCATCAGGTGTAAACTCGTTGCGACGGTCAAGAATCTCGTCCGCAGTCATGGTGAGGACCTCGTCAACTTCTTCCTCCTGCAGCACGAGCGGACCGTCGAATGTGCAGTCGAAGAGTCCGCCCCAGACTCGACTGCGGTCGTCCCCGTAGTAGAACGTCGTCAAATAACGCAGAGGCGTGTTCTTGACGCCCATCTCTTCTTCAGCTTCGCGCTCTGCGTTCACGTCCATAGGCTCCCCGTACTGCACAACTCCACCGGCCATCGGGTCAAGCATCCCGGGGCAGTAGTCCTTAATCATCGTGCGACGCTGCACGTAATACTTGCCACTAACCACAAAGGGGATGTTAAATCAAGTACAGTACGAAAGCTGACTTCGCTCGTGCCTTGAGTTCTTGATGACGATGTAGGAAGCTCGGTGTGGCAGGTTGAACGCACGCTATACGGGAGGGCATCAATGAGGTGATACCGCAGAAGGACCATACAAAAGGCTAACAGCTCACCATGACGGCGCGGTCAGCCTTGCCAATAACGTTATTGTCCTCGTCCACGATGCAGACCTGACCGCAGAGGTTAGAAGCCAGCTGAGGCAGCAACACACAGAGGGGTACGCACCTCTTCCTTGGCACTCAGAGACATCGTATCCGAATTTACCGAATGACAATCAACTTTTTACGGAACCAAATTAATGCTTTTAAAATTAAATTTGTAAACGCACATGCTAACTTTAAAAACACTAATTTTGGTTTCGTAAAAAGAAAACAAATCTTTCCAATATTCATTCAATCAAAATATTTAAAATATTAAATTGAATATTATGATTTAAAACAATCCAAGCAAACTTGTCCAAATTTTCAATAATAAAATTCAATAATCTAATTTAATTCTATCTCAAAATAAGGGACTTTTCGAGTTGTCTTTACCTATTCATTATCCGTAGATGTGGACTTCTACAGGAGTGGGTAGTGGCAAATCCTATTGAGTTTTCAAGTGCGCTGTTTTCACGGTCTATGCAGTACTGAAGTAGACATATTAGTTTGTTGTGTTTTCAACTGTTGGTAGTAGCAGACAGTGCACACTAAGGAAAAGAACACTATGAGCTAAATCACACAGTCGGATGCACTCGAGTTGGTGGTGCTCCTCGCAATCTATGGTGAAGAAGACACCTGGGTGGCGATGGCATCCGTTGGAGCGTTCGATACCCCAGACCGACCGCTTACCCCGTTGATCCGATTCAATATTTGAACTTACGGAGAGGCTAATGCTATCCTTGAATTCGCTTTGGCATTGAGCTGCGCACTGGCGCGACTCTTTAGACTGCCGGAGACGATAATAACAGAGAACGGAAACATATGTACCAAGTTTGAAGCAACCGCAGTCATGCTGAACCGGCTGAGCTCACCTCAGCGGCCCCACAACATGTCGAGCCAGTTTGGGCGCTACTCGGGGCCAATTTGCCGCATTTTCATGTGGATGAGTAAGTTTTCTTTTCATTTTTCGTTTTATGCCATAACTAATACTACAATGTTGTGGTGTGCTTTCTCTCAAATGACGGACGGTAGGAGCCGCCAGGGTAGTAGGGTAGTGCTATAACTTCATCAGAACCAGTGAATACCAGTGCGTTCATGGGATCATCTCAGGATGTGCAGTAATTTAACATATTTTTTACAAGGGTAATAGCAATGAAATGCCGCTCTAAAGTATCTATTACGTCATCCAGTTTATGTAAGAAAATTTGAACACGTTACATAATAAGAACTACTGCACTGTTGCGTTCGACAAGCTGCCAAGCTAGTTGAAGAGTTTTCACCCCAAATATGAACATTCTCTAGTACCAAGCTAGTGGTGAATCCTTTGTCAATACCAGGACACCCCATTATAGAATTGATATTTATCGGGAACCTACCTGAGCATAAATAATGACATGGGGCAGCTAGTGTCAAGCTATACATTATGCATCTACAAGAGCAAGCAATAAATTAGAGCATAATGTAAAGCAAACCAAAACAAATTCATGTTAATTATAAACGAGTGGCTTCATCGACAGTCTGTGTTGTTCAATACGCACCCTTTTGCCGCAGAAAAAAAACACCATTCTCTGCGTAACTGAATACAGGCCGTGACGTTCTTGCTCGCAAGTCGTCCGAGCGACGCTAAAGAGCCGTTAGATGTAGGCAGAATGATGCTCAGCAACTAGTATCTTGGACCAACCGCCGGTTACCGACGACTTTTCTGTCGATGCTATGCAAAAGAGCTTTCTCCGTCGCCGTCGACTACTTCCTCAGTAGTACTAGGTTTGCCTTCGTCCGCGCAGCGAAAGGGCTGTAGCCCCTCCTCCTCTGCCCGTGCCAGCCGGTGGATCCCTACGAAGACGCGTACGCACCTCGACTCGAAGTCGGGTCTGTACACGATGCCACCATGAGATCCTGTGTGACACATAAAACAAATTGCAATTGTAAATAAACTACATATCCGTCCACACTTTACACTGCGCGACAGATCACATCGGACACCCACTTACGGTGCTCTAGCGCCGTCAATACTGCGAGTTAGGCCATACTATTTAGATATATGCGAGTTGTTGACAGTAGGAAAAGCCTAGTAGCGCTAACGAGCGCAGATTCGGCCGCTGTGGGGGACCTCCAATACAACTTTCCACTTTCAGCTCCACGACAGATCAGATCGGACAGAACAGGCTTTACAAAAATCAAGTATATTTTAAAGCTTAGTAAGTTGTTCTATCTCCTTTCTCGGCAACAACCGCTAAGCAGCGACGCGGCATTGACTGCAGCAAAGCGAGAGGGATGGAATTCCAAGCTTCGAATAGGGCTACTTTCAGATCACACACCTTGTCGAATTGCTTACCGTTCCTGTAAACGCGCCGGCTCCTTATTGACCATAGGTTTTCAATTGGATTTAAGTCGGGTGACTTAGACGGCCAGTCGAGCACCTTGACATCCTGGTCCGCAAAAAAGTCCTTAGTGCGGGCTGAGGTGTGGATGCTGGCATTATCTTGTTGGAAGATATAGTCTAAACCGTAGTTGGCATGTGCATAGGGAAGCAAAATCTCGGACAACGTGTACACATAGTCGCCCGAGTTTTGCTTCCCATTCAAAACCACCAGCTGAGACTTTCCCCGCCCACTAAATGTAGCCCAAACCATCACCGATCCTCCCCCTGCTTGCCTTCTCTTGGTCCTTCGGGGAGGACGGCGCAAGTCCCTCCAATATTGCTGAAAGCCGTCGGGCCCATCGAGGTTCCATTTCTTCTCATCAGAGAAGATAATGGAATCCCAATAGGACCCGGCGTCTTTCAGCAACAGCTTCTCCGTTGCCCACGTGAAGCGTACGGCCATGTCTTCCGGCTTCAGCGGAAGCGTGTTGACCATTTTCGTGAAGACCAGCCAGTCGACCCACAAGAGGACGCACTGGATGGTCCTCACGTGCACGCCGAGGCCCAACTCGGCTTTCAACTGCGCCGCCGAGTGCTCGCCACGCGATGCAGTGCGCACAAGACGCCTGACCTCGCGGTCTGTCAGTGCTGGAGACGCTCCGCTTCGTTTGGGGGGCTTCGCGGTCTTGCGTGCCTTGGGTGGAGGCTTGGGAGCCAGTGCACGGCAGATGGTGTCGGGGCTGCGGCCGAGGCTGCGCGCGATGGCGCGCTTGGAGGCTCCAGCCTCAAAGAGGCCGTCAATCCTCCCCCTCTCTCGCTCGGTTAATGGAGGCTTCTTGGTCTTCGGCATCTTTTAGAATGAGCCATGCACTCCACACTCATGGCAGCCACCCACCAGGTACACGCGCTGCAGCCACAAATTTTCAGCTTTAAAATATACTTGATTTTTGTAAAGTCTGTTCTGTCCGATCTGATCTGTCGTGGAGCTGAAAGTGGAAAGTTGTATTGGAGGTCCCCCACAGCGGCCGAATCTGCGCTCGTTAGCGCTACTAGGCTTTTCCTACTGTCAACAACTCGCATATATCTAAATAGTATGGCCTAACTCGCAGTATTGACGGCGCTAGAGCACCGTAAGTGGGTGTCCGATGTGATCTGTCGCGCAGTGTATTAGTAATAAAGAACTTACCGAAATATCTGGTATAATGCGGTTTTTCAGCAATACTGAGACAGCGACGCGAGATCGTTGGCTTGATGGGAATGCATAGAGCCAGAACTCAAGAATAGGCCTCCTTGGCGTCTGAGCACAGCGGCGGTAACCGCAACATTTTTTCACCGTCTTTGGAATCAAATCCTCTCAACTAAAATATGCTGTGAAAAGTTGAATAACATATCGTAAAAATTAAAAACATTTTATTAAAAAATTGTGATGCAAAACATCTTTTAGAGAATCACAAAATTAATTCTAGTGACAAATCTTTTCAAAACAATGACTTGTATGCAATATTAGAGGTAACATCAACACGCAAAGCGGTGGTGGTGCCATGCAGCTTCGACGTCCCGATCGCACTGGCGAGCCGACACCTTCCACCTCTTCCAGCGTCTCAATATGGACGCAACTTGGTGCACCCTCTTCCCCATCGACTTCAACACCTTCACACAACGCATCGGCGTCCCCTGCGGCGCGCTCGGGCCATGCTATGACATTCTTGCCGCCAACCGGCAGCGTCCTCCTCTTCGGCGGTGCAGACGGTAAAATCTTCTTCGAGGACGTATTTTTACTTGAACCAGCGAGTTATGAACACTCCAGCAACAGACCAGGGCACGCGGCGATACCCAGTAGCCGCAAAGAAGAAGGAGCTCCAGATCATGCTTCAGTCGATGTTAAGTGGAAAAGGCTCGTGGTATCACACGGCACGTCGTTTAACGGCCAATCTCCGTGCTCTCCCATGTTCTCCAGCGCTCCTAGTAGTGCAAGCCCCAGCGCTATTCGATCGGGCGTAGAGAGACGCACACCCACGTTCATACACCCTGGAGGAGGCAGAGACTACCATTCCATGCATTATGTTGAGAGCTCCGAGGAAAAGGAGAGGACGAGAGGCATGAGAGTGTTGGTGGTTGGCAATGTGGTCGTAGCTACTGATGAAGCGCCAATGCAAGGGGGAGGGTGCACTCAAGCAGAAGGAGGGGCCATTAATGCTGGGATGGCCTTCGATACTCCGATGTTGAGAGTCGAGGAGCTTAGAGTGAGACAACCAATGCTCGAGGCCCAGTGGGAAGCACGACGTGTGGATCACTCCAGTATGTGGAAACCCCGAGCCAGACATGCCCATAGCAGTGTGGTGGTGGGAGGAGACCAGGTGTTCGTGTTTGGAGGCAAAGACGCCACTTCGACGACGTTTTTCAACGATATTTTCTACTACGATGCACCGTTGAATCAATGGGTCAAGCCGACAGTAAATCCAACAGGTCAATTGCCACAACCACGAGCGTTTGCGGGGCTTACAGCGAGTCATGATGGGAGTACCTTGTTTTTGTTTGGTGGGACGGATGGGAAGCAGGAGTTCGGTTCGCTGTTCCTTTACGATGTGATGCATTCTCGCTGGGACTCGCTGGCCAATGCAACGGCGGGGGACCGACCAACGTGTCGTATTAACCATTCACTTACGTTCGCAGCACCGAATCACCTCGTGCTTTTCGGTGGGCGACGACGCGCTGTGCGTCAGAATGAGCTGTTTATTTACAACGTGGACACACGTACTTGGCGTCTTGTTCACGGTGAAGGATCAAGAGGAAGCCGTCGTAGGAGCCAGGCGGTCATTGATGATAATGCTCCTGTTGGACGGACAGCACACGCCACGGTGTCGTTCCACTCAGAGCCTGCAGGACCTAACGCTGTTCAAAAGCTCCTTATCTTCGGCGGCTATGCCGGTGCACACCAATGGCTCGATGATTTGTACTTACTCTCTTTACCCCAATCAGTGTTGTTGATGCCTCCAGCTACTAGCAGAAGCTCCTCTCGGTCTATCCCAGCAACACGTAAGTCGAGTAATTCTATGCTTGCTGAAAACGAATTAATCTCTAACAACGATATGCCGTTTGCGCAGAACGTACGCGACCGACACGATCGTCCTTAAAAAAACCTGTAGCTCGAGTGGCACTTTCAGCTCCTCAGCAACCAGTTCAGACTCGGCAATCCTCTCAGTCCGGTCTTGCACAGTCAGAAGATCCACTAACAGCACAAGTCTTGCAGCAGCAAACTCAGGCAATTGAGCCAGAAAATGAACCTATCCAGGAAAACACAGAGCAGTCTCAATCATTGCAGCAGAGTTCAGTTGCTCCAGACGCACCAAGCTCTCCACCTCGGCAAATTGCACCAAGGGAGCCTCCCCGGCCCACCGCTGTTACAGTCACTACCAGTGGAAGTGGCATTTTGGCTGACATAACAAACCAAGAGTCCGGGCCACAAGCACAGCAACAGGAGCCGGCAGTGCCTCGGTCTTCTGGAGTGAACGATGCAGCTTCCTCTAATGCAATAAAGAAGCACAAGCGACGGCGGCTTGCAGACGATAGCCAAGAGAGCAGCAACAGCAACAGTAGCAACGGGAGTGGAGAGCTGACAACAGCGCAGGTGGGAATCCAGACCATGTTACTCCAGCTGCTCCAGCATCAGCCACGAATGGAAGATGCACTTGCTCGTATATCGTCGATGTTGGCACGAGAGCAGACAGCACGACAACAACAGAGTTTGAACCAGGAAACCGTGATGAGAGTCCACAGTGAAGAACAGAGCAAACGTCTGGAGGCTGCGAATCGACGGAACGAGGCGCTGGAAGGAAGACTGGCACGTGTTGAGGCTGAAAGAGCATCGTTACATGAGAAGCTGATGGCACGGGAGACTGAACTGTACATGCACAAACACAGCCTCGAGGCAGCGATACCACCGTTGAACGAACGGGTCCAGGCCATCGAAGCTTCACACATGCAGCAACTGAACGTGTCACGAGTGATCGAGTCCAAGATCTCAGCGGTTCATGACTTCATGGATGAACTACGCAACACTGGCAACGAAGGCACAGAGGCTGATGATTCTCCTCAGCGTCATCTAGGGTGCGTATCTTGTATGTTAAATGTCGTTGGGAGTCTGCTCGATGTAGTGCAGCATGGTGTCTTAAGTATCTTCCATGCTGCACTGAGCGTATTGAATGACCCCCGTATATCAAGTTTGAAGCCATGTGCTATCGTCTTGATCTCCTGATGACTTTGGAGGGCTAGAATTCCCTTTAAGGACAGATACGGGTCGTACATTTTTCGATACTGCTGCAAGGAGACTAACTTGTTTGTGTGCAGGCGTTTAGATGATAGCGTGGCAACTCAACCGACTCCATCGCCGCCGAAGCCTTTGCTGTATTCACAACGTGTGGTAATGGCGTTGGAGGAGAAGATCCGAGTAATACAGTCGGAGAAGAATGCGCTTGAAGCACAAGTAAGTGAATTTGTTAAGCTTATGTTGTATTTTTCTTATTTGTGTTTGCTATAGTTTAAGGAGATGGCGGAGAAATTAAAGAAGGTCGAAGCCAGAGAAGCACAAGCCCGACAATTCCTGTTCTCATGGTGTCAACAAGAGGACAACCCGCCAGTGACGAGTACAGCTACATCAGCTGTGCCCGAGTCTGCAAAACCTGCCCCGGATACTACGACGTGAGAAGTTGTCTTGTGCCGTCCTAACCTAACCTGTTGATAATGTCCAAATGCGTCGTGAACAGAGGAACGCTGTGATTACTGTTACGGAGCTGACTTGGGAAAGTTCATTTCGTTCAAAATGTTGCTGACAGGGCCAGCGTGGCCCTCTTGAGACGCGAACGATTCGAGCAGGTTGGACAGCAGATTGTAGTCCAGATCCAGTGGCTTTGCCGACGAAAAGGACGCCGAGCCAACGTCAGTCGACCCGTCCTGGACACATGACGCAGCTTCATCGTCTTTCACCTCTTCAAAGCGAGAGAAACTCTTGGCTACGTCAGTTCCTGCCAGCTCTGCCTCCATTTCAGCCATGGCCTCGTCCAGTGCATCGTCACTTCCTTTATCTCCTGACTCGTCGGCACTATCGGGCTCGTCTTCATCCATAAAGTGCTGCCCCCACGGCGCGTCCAAGTCAGCACCCCCTCGTTCATGGCCATTCAAGATCTCCATGAAGGAGCTCATGTCGAACTGGACAGGCTCCGCTCCTTCCACACCATCTACACCGGAGACCCCGTCCACAAACTTGCCAAACATAGCAGCCATGTTTTGCAGCTCGTCAGCGCCTCCAGGTGCCGTACCAGACCCCGCCATAGCAGCACGTTGCAGTTGACTTTCCAGTGTGTCAGGGTGCATGTACAGCCACGAGTCGTCATCGTCGGCTTCAATCGGCAGCGTCGACAACGTCACTTGTTCTTCTAGTGCTTCATCAATAACCTGCCTCCATGGTCGTCCAAGCTGGTCTTCTGTGTCTCCAGCGTACAGCAACTCAAGGCCACAAGCAAGTTTCACGCCAATATCCGCCGCTTGTTTGTCTGGATGTGTATGTTCTCCGTCTTTTTTCTCCAGCACACGGTATCGTGTATCAAGACGAAGAAATGGCTTCGGTGGGAAGAATTCCTGCTGCTTGAGCTGAGCAAACATGGCTCTTGAGAACGTGACTCGGTGCTCTACCACTACACCTCCTGCGGGTATGAATGTAGCCATCTTGGTACATACCAGCCCTGCCTGTTTCGGTTCGCGATAGTAGAACGCCTCCACTGCAGGCCCCACCAGCTCTATATTGGCTGTAAATACCCGTGCAGCTCTCTCCGGTAGCAGACATCTGACTCGATGGCGATTGTCACGTAGATAGGCAGGAATTTGGTCCAGTTTGTGTCGAATCAGACGCTGCACTGCTGTACTCGCCTCTGTCTGGACACTCGCGTTTAACACTTGTAGCAACGCGTCTTCGTCGTATAGATCCCCATCTTTGCCTCTCTTATTGGCGGCTGCGGGTGGCGCAATGTGCAGCTTCCCGTCGAGCACGAACACTCTTCGGTCGCTGTCTTCGGGTGTGACCCAGTCGGGCAGCGCCTCGGCGCTCTCGATGAGTAGAAACTCCCCGTCCGAGTCGCATACTCTGCCCACGACACCTGGGAACTTGCTAGTGATGTCAAACACGAGCTTGGCCACGACCCACTCGTCCTGAATGGCATCGCCGACGCTGGTGCTTCCGGACAGAATATAACGCCCGCTCTTGGTGGTGTGTACGTCGAGGTGGAAACGGTGCTTGTGCCACAAGAACCCGCGCGTCTGCTGCGCTGCGAAGTCTAGGAAGGCTTTGCACTGATGATCTGCTACTTGGAGAAGCTCAGCTTGCGTCTGGGTGGATGAGGAGCGCAGGAAGAAGCAGTAGCGCGCCACATTCTCGTCCACTGTTGGTGTCGGGAAGAGCTCCATGATAATGGTCAGAGCGTTTTGATTAGCATGTTTTCCGCCAATCACAACGCGTCCCGATGCAGAAGTTTGACGAGCTCCGCTGTAGATCATGGACCGCTCACGGCTCGAGAAGCTCAAGTCCCGGTCTAATCAGAAGCGCAAGAGACCCAGGATCGTGTCGATATGAGAATCCCCACCAAGTTGCTCATATTGGCGTCAAAATGAAGTCAAGAAAGTGCTCGGACTGGTGGCAGCCTCAATACAGAGCTCTACAGAAACGATTGACGGGATGCTAACAGGCACAAACGACTACAGAGGCCAACGTCCATTCCGAATGCCAGTCGGACGAGCAACAGAGCGAGAATCTGGCCTGAATGGATGTATCCTTCACTCCTGCCGCAGGTACAGCCGTATTCTGATAATTTCGTAAGGATTAACTACGGGTTTCTAATGCCGTTCCTATCTGCTGCAGGAATCTGTTTCATGAAGCGCTGGGGTGAGCGGAGAGCAACATCCGTAGCAAGCCAAGAAAAAAATGGGAGCTTTTGGAGACGGACGACGGCGGTATTTACTCTTTGAGAAGCACTGGGATTCATTTTCCATGATCAGCATCTTTGAACAACTGGGTCACATTACTGTTCGAGAAAAACACGACGAATTTTATCCGTACAGCATGTCTGAGGGCGTACTGCAAGACATTTCGGGAGATACTAATGACAGCTAGCACCGACGACACCAAGTGGTTCTTGAAGCTGCGTTGTCCAGATATTCCAGTTTCTCCATGTGCTCAGCAAGAATTGGAAGCGCGAAATTAGCGAAGTAATGATCAAGGCCATGAGCGAAGTCCTGTATGCCAGAGCGTGACTAAACTGCATGCATCAGACTACTTGTTCCCCTGCAGCAAGCCTGCGGGTCTTCAACGGTGCTAACGATTGACCTGAGCCAGGAAGGGTGTTGACAACCAAGTCTGATAACGCTCGTCGAGCAGAAATTTTGAATCCATTCTGAGAATGGATACTTTTGTCCACCGTGATCGTGTTCTCATGTCGGTCGATTGCTAGAGCTGCTGGCTGCTAGACGCTCGGAGTTCACCATGGCAGCGAGAAGTTCATTCTCCAACTTGCTTGGTCCTCTCCGCGTCCAGCCATGACCCTCGCTGCATTCGTTCGCCTGACTGCCATCGCTGCCACTCTCACGGCCACCGTCGACGGTCAGCTTGAATTCAACGGTGACATCCTCCCAACCAAGCTCAACTATCAAGAGTACATCTCGACCACCAAGGAATCGACGGCGCACATCGACATTGAGCCGCTTATCCTCGGAGGAAGCATCGTCCCTCCCGGTACCAAGACGTACACGACGGGTGTGCGTCCGACGGCCAACGGCACGGACTTCTGCGGCGGCTCCCTCATCACGCCGACGCACGTGCTTACTGCTGCGCACTGCATGGCTGGAGACATCCAATACGTCTCGGTCGGCACGCATTTCCTTAGTGGCACCGAAGACGGCGAGCAGATTAAGGTCGTCAACATGACGCGTCACCCCAAGTACGCGGCCGAGACCAACTCGTACGACTTCCTGGTGCTTGAACTAGAAAAGCCAAGCACGTTCCCACCTGTTGCACTCGCTGAAGCCGACGACTCGGACGTCGCTGCTGGCGGCAATGCGACGGTCATGGGGTGGGGAGCCACCGCGCAAGGCGGCGAGCAGTCGAACGAGCTGCTTCGTGTCGATGTGCCGCTTGTGAACAACACTGCGTGTGCCAAGGTCCTGGACGTGGACGCGACGATGCTGTGTGCAGGTGGAGAACTCGATAAGGACTCGTGCCAGGGCGACTCCGGTGGTCCGCTCATCATGGAGCAGTCGGTCGAAGACGTGCTTGTTGGCGTCGTGAGCTGGGGCAACGGCTGTGGACGTGCCGGATACCCGGGAGTCTACGCGCGTGTATCCATTGCGAGACAGTGGCTAAGCAGCGTCGCCCCAGACGTCAAGTTCCGCTAGAAGACTGCGATACCTTCGGATGCTGCTTTAGAGTATGGGATCAGTACAAGTTGTTTCATACAACATCAACTTGTTGGATTGTCCAACATGACAAGCTTATCTCTTAAATACGAATGTAGCCATCTTTTCTTTTGACTGGTAGCGCAAGTCACAACAAGCACTTGCTGCATCGCCTGGTGGTCTACGCGTACTTGCAGCACTTCGTCTTCTCGCTCTCTACGTCTTCATCGGCATGGTTCGTCAACAGCGGAAGAAGGCGCGTGCACACGGCGTGGCGGCGCGCTCGAAAGCGTCGTCCAGCCAGCAGCAGGACTCGAAACAGGGTGACGAACTGGGCGCCGCCGCCGTTGCTGCCACCTTCGGCGAAGACATCGTGCCCGTCGATGAAGAGGCCGACGAGCCGACGGATGCGCAGAGTCTGAGCCGTGGCCAGCGCAAGCGCCTCAAGCGCCGCGCCGCCTTCATGCGCAAGATGGGTATCGTGTCGCGTGTGACGCAGGAGCAGGAGAAGCAGGCAAAGACGGCCGAGAACGGCGTGTTCGCCGGTCTGGACGATCTAGAGAACTCACTGTTCCAGGAGGACGAGAAGAAGAAGACCAAGGCCGGCAAGAAGAAGCCGCTCAGCGGTCGCCAACGTCAGAAGTTGGCGGTGCGCGAGTTGGGCCAGCTTAAGGCCGTGCAGACCCACTCCAGCTTCAAGAACGACCCGTTCGCCGCCATCCAGGCGCATCTGCAGAACACCGTTGTACAGGCCAACCACGAGCTGCTGGAGAAGACTAACAAGAAGAACAAGAACGCCAATAAGATGGACGTCGAGGCGTAAGAGAAACACTTAAAGTATACATGTTTTAACGCATTAATGCTGTTTGCTACAAGAGGAGGTCCCTACTCAGTATTACAGAGCAGACAGACGCCGCGCAGTCCCCAATGACGCGGTGGACGACCGGGAGGACACTTCATGGTCACCATGAAGACGAAGTACCGGTCCGTACGGGTCGCGTACTTGTAGCACGGACACTCGAACGGCCCCACGGCGCCATACAGTTCCTTGCGTGACTTGGCTTCCAGCTCTTTGGACATACTGTTGACATGCAAGACAGGCAGCGACGTGAACAGCTTCTTAGGCTCCGACTCAACAATAGTGCCATCAGCCTTACTCCACGTCGCGCCGTCCATGAACAGGCCGTAGATGTAGACGCCTTCGCTGGGCGGCGCGCGCACCTGTTCGGCCCGTTCGAAGGACGTCACTTCGGTGTGGTAGACCACGTCGTCCAGCGCCCACTTGTCCGTCTTGGAGTGCTTTCGCGTGACCTCCTGCTTCATGGCTGTGAGCATACCTTGCGGGTTAAAGAACCCAGTCAACCAGAACGAGTTAGGACGTCGTGTGTTCAGCCACGTGCGATTTTGTTCGTCTCTGGAGATCAGACTCGAGAACCAGAGGCCGAGCGTCGGCAGGATCCACGAGAACTCATCTCCAACAGACGTACGCAGCCACGACGGCGGTACTTTAGCATCGAAGATGGCGTCCAGCGTCCAGCTCAGTTCCTCGGTCATGACAACCTCGCCACGGATAGCCATCTGCAGTGACTGCAGCATGGACCGCACCTTGGCGATCACCCGTTGCAGACGCTGGATCTCCTGGAACAGGAAGATGTTAAGCGGAATGGTTAATCCGCCTAACTTGTTGATCTTGGCCTTGTAGTCGTCCTCATTGTAGTCTTCTGGCAGTCTATCCAGCAGCTCCTTGGCCTTCTCACACACGACGTCTTCGCGCGACACACCGGACGAGCCACCGCCTCCTTTCGGCTGTGTATCACCGAGCGTTGTAAGCAGCAAGTTAACTTCTTTGACTCTGTACGTGAGGTCGGCGTTCGGGTGCAATCCGAAGATTTCAGGCGAGTCGATCTCCGGCAGCGTGTGGCAGAAGTGCCGGTAGTCGTCGATGTTATCGGCCACGGGGATACGGTAGTTGAAGTCGTTCGGTAGACGGAAAATCGGCTCGGCCGGGTTGTAGCTGAACGTGGCCGAACACACGTCCGGCGTGAGGCACCACTCGGCGTAGAAGTTAAACAAACGGCGATCCATGTTGTCCGTGATCTTGCCGCCGTACTGCACCTCTGCGACCATGTACTGCAGCGTCGGCCAGGAAATAGGTCCGTTGTACAGGTGCTTCTCAAGGAAGATCGTACAGGCCGACAGATCGCCGTTATTGTACTCGTACGGGATGCCCCAGCCAAGTGGTCCAAACTTCTTGCGTTCTATAACCACGGAGTGTAGGAAGCACAAGTTGAAGAGCAGTTGACGCCACTGGGTTGTCTCCACACGCTCCAATTTCTCCTGATCCACCATGACTGTATATGACCGTAATAACCCGGCACGTAGGCCTTGGGGAGGCTCGTTCGTCACCTTCGTGGACATTTGCAGTAAACCCAACGGGAACTGGTCGTTCGGCAGCGCCGTGAGGAACAGACGGAAGCCTGGATCCATCGTCTCGGTCAGTTTTAGCATGATATCCTCCATCTGCTCCATGAGTTCCAAGCCCAGTTCACAGTTCTGTAATAACACCCACGTGCCGTTAACAACCGCCGCGTTGATGGCCTTCAACGCCACAGGTTCTTGACCTTCACCCATGGACACAACCGCGGGCGACGGGTTCTTCTGCTTACGAGCTAGCATCTCGATACTCTCGGTAGGATCAGCACCGATAGACAACAGAAAGATCACGGGCGTCTCGGCCTTCATCTCAGCGAAGATACTCTCGATCGTATCAGTCACAGGCTCCACATAACGTGGCCCCATTTGCTGCGTGTTCCGGATAAACTCCTTGGTCGTGAGGATCGTACGATCCATACGTAGTGACCGTACCAGCAACAGCTTGTAGTATGGTCCGATAGCTTCGTTCTCGGCCAGTCTCGCTTCGTAATCCGGGATAACTACAGTCTCCGGTTCATTGTCTTCGTACCAGCGACGCCACATGCCTTCGTTTGAAGCCATTTCATGCGGTAAGTTCGTGAAAAACTTGCAGCTTTGAGACAACTCGATGACGTTCAGCCACGCCTCGTTAGAGATCCACGAGAACGGCTTACGGCGTACGGAATTGATGTCGAGCGCGGCACCTCCTCTAATCAGCAACGTAACTTCCTCTCGAGTCAGTAAACTATCCGTAACCAGGATCTTTAACGTGAGTAAGAGTACAAACGTGAGCTTGTCACGTTCATACAGACCGCGGTTGATGTACCGATACGAAATGTACGTCATGGTCTCAATGATATTCGCCACACGCTTGGACGCCAACGCAGCCTTCTCTGCTACGTCCATAGACTTCATGAACAGCGCTAAAAACTGGTTTAGAGACGTCTGGTACATGCAGTTAATAAGGGACGTCTCCACTACCGAGAAATAGAGTACAGAGCCTCGTGTGGCTACGGGTCGGAACTGCTCGCGTTTCTCGTTAATAGACTTTCTTGTATCGGCAGCAGCGATCAACTTGTCCTTAACTTCGGCAGCTTTCTCTTTAGTGTTCGCTAACACCCCGATTAGCTCCTCATCTTCCAGTAAATTACCCGTATTTGACGTCAGACGCTCTAATAGAGACGCGTCTAACGCTAACAGCGACTTTGTATTCATGTTGACATCTTCTAACACTTGAGCGAGCTGTTCTTCCAGTGCCTTCTGCTCTTTACCAATGACTCGGCCAAGAAGCTGTTCCTCCAGACCCTTAATAGTGACTGTAAAGTCGATCACCGTAGTCTTAGCCTGTAATTCCGGTCCGAAATGAGGGTTCGGTAGGCGAGTAATGAAGTACATAGAGAAGGCCGGATTGAACTCCATGTTCTTATCAGACACGTTAATCGACATACTCTTGCCCTTAACAATGATCTGTTTCTCCAAAACCGGGTCCAACATGGGGTCGATATCTTCTTCCACACCTGCGACGATTAGAGCTTTGCCCTCACCCATACAGAACTCTAATTGATCCTTTAATTTAGGGTGATTCAACGACGTCGTACCGTAACTCGGTACACGTTCGGACTCCTTATTCTTAATCCACGATAGAGCTTGACCCTGTGGGTCCACTAACAACGGATAACGTGAGGAACGGGTAACCATAATACCATTCTGTATCGACAGCGAGTCTGTCGGTAAACCCTGCATGTTCCAGTCTCCGACTGTACCAATGTCCACTAAAAACGTAATCACATCGATATCCACCGTAACCGGAACATTCCTCGACTCGCAGTCAGGAACAAACTTGTTCTGCACCATATACGTCCGGAAGTCTTGGTTAAAGGGTCCACAGTACGATACAAAAGCACAGGCGACAGCACAGTCGCCTACGAGTCTTCTCTTAAGGTCTGCGAAGTTGTTCGAGTCGTCTGTCCAACGTACTCGCTCCCCTGCTAACCCGTTAATTAGATCCGAAGCTTGCTGCATTTTACGTGCTAAGGCATTGGCTCCGTCCTCGATGCGCTTCTTCTCGGCCATTTGAGCCTCGAACATCTGCTGTAACTCATTCAATCGCTCTTTACACTTAGACAGGCGTTGTTCTGCAGCATTTAGAGCTTTATTGGCTGCCTCCATCTGTCCTTCAGCGATCGTAAGAGCTTCAAGCTTAGGCTTCACCACTTTCGAAGCCTCGTGGTAAAATTTCATCGCGCGTACCCATGTGCACAGTCCTTCAGCTGCAAGCGACGCGTTCTTGGCTACACTTGGTTGGAAGCCTTCCAGCTCCATATACGGCGTCAACAACTCGATGGTCTCTTCGTTAATCATATCTTTACCAACCGCGCCGAAATTCTGGACATTTTTCAAGAAATTCGAGTCGCTCATCATCGACTGAGCATACGGAGAGAAAGACGTCTCGAAGAAGTCGATTTCCTGTTTGGCTACATTGAGCTTCACCTGCTTCACTGGGATCAACGGCAGCTTGAATAAAATCAGCACTCCGTCGAACACAAGACGGATAATATCCGCAGGCTTTGCTAGCTTCTTGATCTCTCCAATGTGCGCCGGTTTGATCGAGTCAATGGCCGTCTCAGCTTCTTCCACGAATGGCTTGGCCTTGGCCAGATCGCGTTCACACAGCTCCTTTTCAGCCGAGATACGAGCCGCATCTTCTTCACATTTCGCTTTAATTTGAGCCACTTGATCGCCTTCTTTATGGGCTTCAGCAGACGAAACTTGCAGCGACTGTAACATGGTATTCGTCTCTTCAGTGGCCTTTTCAAGCTTCACCTGCTCGTCTGCCAGTACGATGGACATCGCTCGAACATCTTCTGCTCCTTGGATGAGTTTCTTTAACCCCAAGTTCACACGCTGCTCCTTGACCTTAATTTCATCCAGTTTCACGTTGTACATCTTCTTGTACGACTCGATGAAGCTCAGATATGACTTCGGCGTTTGATACACTCGTCGACGCATTTTTTGAAAATATTCTTCACATAAATCCGTAACGATACGGTGTACCATACCCATATGAGTCATCAAGGCCTGCTTGGTAGTAGCGTCACACTCCATGGGGTAATCCTGGATAAAACCCTTGGATACGGCGATAAGAGCGTCTTCAGGCCACGGTAAGAACCAATCGATCGTAGGGCCACTAATCAAACCGGGAAATTTGCGAGCTCGTTCGGCAAATTTTGCGTTAAGTGGCGACATACACAACACCACGTGAAGATTGTCTCGTACACAGTCTGTGAAGTATTGTTTGAGGTTTGTTTGGCTCTCAGCTTGACCAGGACGTTCCTTAACGAACGAGTTACGGAGATCCGCTGTCATGGCCATCATCTCGTCTTTAGCGAACAGTCCAGCCACCTCGCCCGTCATGAGGATAGAGTTGATCAATTCTAGGAAAATCTCGTTCTTAATTTCTGCGTCTGTGAATAAGAACGTCGTAGATTTACGAAGATGACCCGCGGACTTGTACAGCGTACGGATATCCTCCATGAACGAGTTGGTATTGTACGTTTTTGTTAGCACAATCTGGAAGATCGTAGAGCCAGCCATATAAGCTGCTAACCGCGTTAGCGACTGCTTTCCAGATCCACCGACACCAACCAGTAACGCTGAGCCTCGAGGCATCTCTAACAAGCGAGAAATACGTAACAAGTGATCGAGCGCATCGTCGAATAACACCAGACGCATCTGACGTTGAGGGAAGTCCGTGTTGTACTTGTCTAGGAATTCTAGAACACGAGAGCGGACATCGGTCACTGTACCACCCGGTTCGTAGATCTTTAGAGCTGCATCAGCGATGCCTCCTTCCTCGTCTTCTTCGGGATCTCGAAGGAAGTTAACCATGCAGTATTGCTGTCGACAGAACTCCTCTAAGTTGTCCCCGTAATGGCTTTTAATTAGCTCCTTCATGTACGTATTGAAGATGTCTTTATCCTTGTGATTCGTCAACTTATCGCAGAAAACGCGAGCGCATTCGTGCTTCCAAGTGAGTAAAACCACTTGACCAGGGTCCATTTTAGATAATTTACCTTGTGTTACTCGAATACCACCTCCACTTGTGAATGTTTCGGGTGGAGTGAGTAGGATCCCTTGAAACACACGACTCAACTCTCGCATGTTGAAAATGTAATGGAATTTCGCGGGAGTGGGCAAAAGTTTCGCCTTCATAAAGTTCCACAGGTCAATTGTAGCACGCGTGAGTTTGTTCACCACCGATAGAGTTTCTTTACTGTACGTTTCCGGATCGAATCGTCCAGCGAGCATCTGTCCGTAGATGTCATCGATGGACGTGAGTGATGGTAGAATCAAGTTGAAGAGGTAGAATTGGCGCTTTAACCGGTTAGGAATGTCGTTACGGCCTCCTCCTGGATGCCCCATAGCTCCAACATACTGTAAATCTTCGCAGACTTTGAAATCACCACGTCGGTCTTTGGAGAGGAAGCAGAAGCCACTCAACTCAATGATCATACGCACGATTTCAAGTGTAGGTTGGTCACCCCACGCGTTAACAAGCGGCATACTGAGATCATCTAGAAAGACCGTCATCTTCTTGCCTCCTGGAGGACCGAAGCTCTTACCTCCACGCTTATCCAGCTCGCTTTCAACCGCGTTCTGGAACATAAAGGGCGTCGTAGCACTCGAGAAGTTCACGCGTTTAATCATCATTAAATCTGGATTCAGATCGTTGAAAAACATCAACGCTGATGAGGTTTTAGCAGTACCAGGACCGCCTACCATCAACACAGGCTTGCGTTGTTTATGTAGGTTTTCAATAAGATACAGTGTTCTAACTGAGTCCATGGTAGGCACCAGTAAGTTAGAGAAGTCAAGTTGCTTCGAGCCTTTAGGGTACTCCCATTTCGCAGGTCTCCAGAGCTTCCAGTCCCACGTTTGAGGGTCCACAAAGTACTCGTACACGGTTTGACCAGGATCACATTTGGGTAATAAGGCGTTGTCATCGTACTGTCGAAGCCACTCGTCGAACTTGACTCGATCTTCCTGCTCTAACAACGAGCCAAGAGACCAGCAAATACAGTACAAATAGAGTTTCTCTAACTGTATCGCTAATTTAGCGGGGTCTTCTGACAAGGTGGTTCCATGATCTCCAAGCAGTAAACCAGTCATCAAATTGTACAGTCGAGAAGCCTGACCAACACGAGATACAGTCATAACACCTTCTGTGTTGCGGTTCAAGTAGTCAAAGCAATGGCCCGGGTTGATTGGGTTATTTTCGCCCATATATTTCATGAACAGATCCCGAAGAACTTGCTGGTGCGTCTGTGGACGTTTACGGATCCACGCTTCCACCACTGGAGCCCAGTCCAAATCCGTATCACTAATAAACACAATACCTGCTCGAGATACGGTAGCAGGACTGGCATTTACCAATGTCTCGACTTCAAACATAAGCTTGACATTATCCGTCATGGGCATCCGGTCTCCGTTAGCAAGAGTCAAAATCTTGTTATCATCCAGCACTGTATTGAGATCCTCAATCCAGATAGCGTCCACAGGACCGTCACACGTCATCCACATGATGAATTTGTTGGCTTTATTGTTGTATTTTGCCCACATGGCGGCAAACACTCCGGTTGTCCACTCTCCCGACATTGGGTCCACTTCTCCATACATTTCAGCGGCGCGAATGGCTTTAGGGTTCAACTTTGACTGCTTGTGGACGATGTTGGTGGTTAGAGTAAGCGCCTGCATCAACACGTCGAAGATCTTGGTTTTCCCGCCCCCAGTGGGACCCACCAGCATGATCCCGTGACGAACAAGTTGTGTCTCGTATAGTTGGATGACCTTATTGAACCAGCCTGGATGATCCACCAGGCCTTGTTTCTCGATCTCAGCTTGTAAAGCCACAGTAAGTTCGGGATACGAGCCTTTAGGAGGGAATTGAACGGTGGGAAACAAGTCAGCGAGTAGTGACAAGAACAGCGGCACATCTTGAGCCACGAGTTTCGAGAGATTCATATCTCGTAACGTCTGATACAGCAACTTGGACTCTAAATCGTTACGGTTGTCACGCTTGATCTTACCGGCACTACGTAACACGGCGAGAATGTTACGGAGACCCCAATCGTAGTGCTTTTGTGCTGACAGCTGTTCCTTGCACGTATTATACAGGATAAAAAACTTCTTGGCGAGGTCCTGGTACTCGGAATATCCGACTGAACACAGCTTCACCTTCATGATAATCTCGAAATCGGGTACCATCATGGCTACACCTCGGAACAAAGCCTTCAAGTTCTCAGGAAGTTCCTGTCGACCAGCGTAACCCGGATTCATAGTAATAAAATACCCGCAAACTTGCGTAAGTAAAATATTTTGCGGATCCCCTGGAAACTGGAAATATTTCGTCCCAGTTTTCTTCGCGTTCTGAATAGCAAGCACTTGTTGAGCCACCACAGACAATACGGGCAGTTGAATACGATTAAACTCATCGAAGCAGCCCCATAATCCACCTTGACATAAACCTTTAAAGATCTTGGCACAATCTGTATATTTCTGTTGGTCGGTACAGTTAGTCACCACCACGTAGATACCCAGCGTTCGACCAAGATCTTTCACCGTCTCCGTCTTCCCTGTTCCTGCAGGACCAGCTGGTGCACCGCCAAAGTACATTCCTAACGCTTGCGCCAGTGTAATATAACATCGATCCGTTAGAGGGGTCACCACTAATCGCTCTTTAGAGCCAAGGTATTCAAACTGGTAATTAAAATCGACATCTGTAATCGAGATGACACACGCTCCGTCAGCATTAAACTCGTCTGCATTGCCTGGTCTCCAGTAGAATCGAGCCTGCTTAAGCCATTCAAAGTCATTGGGATCCGAGATCTTCTTCTGCTTGTATAGAGTAGCGAGGTCAGTCATCACGTCACGTTGGTGCACGTGGATCGTCACAAGCGTCTCGATCTTGATACGGTTCTCTTTAGACCCGAGATCTCCCAGACACCAGTTGGACAGTTCGGTAAGCACCATGGCTTGTTTAGTACTGGTATCTTTCATGATATTTTTCTTCGCTCGGCATTGCTCCAGGGCTATCTGGATGTCCGTTGTCCACATCATCTGGATACCTAACAGAGCGAATTGAGCCACATATCGGTCCACAAACTCTCGCAAACGTTTCAAATCGTTGCCTACAACGCCGATATCCACAGCACTTTGTCGACAGATATCCTTCATGGTAATCTGCATCCCACGTAGCAATGTAGCCAACCAGTCCTCGATATTCCCCTGAGCCTTGACAATCTGTGAGAAACGCACTTCCTCGACTCCAGAAACCATCGTATGGATCAGAGTCTTGTCCTTTTTATCGTGATATACCCTCTCAATCGAATCAAATACTTTCTCATAGTGTTCGTTCATACTCAGAGGGTCACTACCTTGCGACAAGATCATCAGTAAACCAGGGTTTGATACGAAGTAAAACCTCGGAAACTTGTTACGTTTCTGCTCCAGGTACCCCTCCAGACTCTTCTGACACTTCTCCAATTCGGAATACATCGTCGGTAAGCAGGACTTTAGTAATTCACTCGAACAACAGGCCACGACGTTCTTAATCTCTTCAGATTTCGACATGATTTTCGCCCAATCTTTGTCAACTTTCTGGAATTTCTTGGCTTCCACGGGCATTTGTTTCGCGATATCTCCACCGGTGAAGACAGATTCCAGCGAACACCACAACATCTGCACTTTAATCCATCGCTCCAGCGTCTCAGAAGTATCGGATAATTGCTCCAATTTGCCCTGTGCGACGTCTTTAAATGGAATCACGTGACGCATGGACAGCATCGTCTGTAGGTTCATCTGCGTCTCCTCCAACTCCTCCACGACCGGCACAACCGCCTTTAAAATGGGCACATTACGGCTCTTCCAGTCTTGGAATTGGAACTCTTCGGTCTCCCAACGAGCCGAAATTTCTCCAAGTTGGATCTCAATTTTCAGTTGTTTATCAGCGCCGTCTGTAACTTCCTCGATTTCAGACTTATACTCGACAATATTCGCATCCATGAGAGCTTGGAGCTTGAAATCTGGCGCTGTAACGTCAAGTTGCGTCTTCGTAATTGCCATAACCGCTTCCCAGTGTCGAGGCTTGATACTTTCTTTGCTGAGTTCTTGTAGAAGAGGTAACACGTCTGTGAAGTCGTCGATCATCTTCTTGAGATCTGTATACGCTTCCCACTCTCGTAATTTACCTGGCATTTTCTTACACCGAAGAGAGAACGCATCTACTTTTTCAGTCATGGACTGCACTCGCTCTGCAACTGAGAGCCACGGGATCTGTTTCCACTCTTCGATTGTACTCAGAACGTCCGTATACAAGCCGAACAATTTATCCTGAAGTTGTAGTTCTTTCTTGGTCATCTCGAGCTCAGGATACGTCGTCTTTGGGAGAGCAAAGAGCTCTTCTCCTGACAAGTACAACTCGTGTTTACGCTCTCGAATTTTGTACTCTTCCTTGTAACGATTGAGTCTTTCTACGGCTTCTACGGGAGGAATTCCGATGACCATGGGACCATTAGCCAGATAGTCTTCACGGAAGTGCTTGACGTCGACAATTAACTCCTTAATGTCGCGAAGAAGACCTCGTTTGAAGCCTGCTTGGGTCTTACTGAGCTCGTCTGTCCGGGTCTCTGCGTGGTGAATCAGCTTCCGCCAATTGCTTCGCAGTACGGACTTTTGATCCATCTCTTCCTTCTCCATGAAGCCATCAGGTAAATAGTACTCCAGCATCTCGTACATATCCAGAACAGGGTTGATCTCCATGTTGATACCGCTCTCTCTGGCTCGAACTTCCTTTAGTAAGTTCATCACGAAGCGTAAGGAGTCCAAGTCTACTACTTTACGGTTCAGTTTGCCCATCGTCGAGCGGAAATATTCCGTTAACGACTCCATTTTTCGTCTTGCTTGGTTGTGTAAGTTATCTGAGAATTTCAACTTCCACTGCGAATTTTCGTGTTTGAGCTGTAACTTGATATTGCGAGTGTTCAATGACAGCGCACCGATGTTGTGGATGGGCGTCAAACTTGAGATTTCTTCGTCAATCTCGACAAAACTCTTTAATTTCTTCTCGAAATCTTGCAGTTCCGGGTTCTTCTTCAAGAAATTCTCGTACGAGACGTCCTTCTGCTCCATCCAGAGCCACTCGTACTTCTTAAAAGACCCCAAATACTCCGTCACATTGTTACGCAGACCCTGCACGCTTCCGGTAAGCAATAGAACGACACGAACGATCTCGATATCCTTCGTAATCCGGTCGAAAAACGTAATTTTTCCAGCGTTAGGGTGTCCGTTAGCGTTCCCGTTACTGTCAGATGTAGTTGAATTCACTACTGCAGCGGATAAATCGCTTTGTCCCCAGTCCAGCAGCTCTTTCGAGCAGCTTAGAATGGTCTGTGCAGCTTTGTTAATGGCCAGTTGGATCTCATCTAGCGACGGATGAAGCTGCACATTCGGAACACTAAGCTGTACATCTACCTCGAAGAACGGACGCTCAATAGTGAACACCGACGACGTTGCACGAGAGGCCACACGCTTCTTAATAGTGTTCAACGAGTTCTTGGTACAGTGCAGTAACGCCTGATACATGAAGTGGTTGTAGTGTTTCTTGAGCTTCATAGCTTCGTCGTTCGAAACACCTTCGATGTGCGAATCTAACGGATACTGCATGATAATTTTCAGTAAATCCTCGACTGCATTTTCAATCTCAACGTTCTTGCCTTGCAACAACGCACCCGCTCGCTTGATATTCGAGCTCTGCATAGTCACAAACTCATCGAGCGAGAAAGACTGGTCCACTGGCAGATCCACTAGCATCGTCTTGGATACAATACGCATGTTTTTTTCGATACGGTTCTCGATAATATCGTTAATGTTTGTCACCAATTCTTCCAAATGTTGGAGACCCGAGTGGATGTGGTTACGGTAGGCTTCGATGTTCATACTCGTCCAGGTCAGAGTGATCATACCGGGACGTAATTTGAACTCCATGTCATTGAAGTGAGGTCGTAACAGCATCGCAGTTACAGGGATCACCTTGGTCACGATGCGGTCATATTCAGCCAGAGCATACTGGAGTTCATTATAGTAGTTCTTGAACTTATCTTCTTGAAGCAGTACTATCTTCGCAGCCTCTGGGATCTCGATACCCATGCGGTCCAAACATTTCGCTTCACGTAAAAGCTGCAAAATTTCAGGGTCAAAATTCACGTAAAGTTTGTTATCTTCAGGATGACGAATGATCAGCGTGGCTTGGAGTCCGGCCTTGGCTGTGTCGATGTACTGCACCCACGCCTGGTACCAGATGTACTCGAACGCCACCAGAGTTCTCGCCACTTTGTTGTACATACGGATAATCCTTTTGGCGTCTTTACTGGCCAGAACGTTCTGGTTTGACTCAAATTTCTTCATGGGCTCTTCAATGCGCTTCAACAAGTGTCTGGACCAGGTTATATTACCTGCCACAGGCGGTAAATTACGCGGATACGGAGGGTTCTGCTTGTATTTTTCGTACTGCTGCAGCACATGCTCCAGTTCCAGTCCGTAGTTCTGGAAAATAACGTTAAACTTGGAGTCGAGATCGGACTTTAAGTTCTCTCGCTGCAGAATTGTCTGAAATTTACGGAGAAGATTCAGCGAGTGCTCAATCGACGTGATGTTCTCGAACGAATCGTTGATAAACTTCTGCAGTAAACCTTCAAGGTCCGAGATCCTGACGTTAAACTCCACATAGTCGCGGTCGAAGCGGTTGTTCTTGTAGTCCAGTAAGTCGTGGTTACGGTACTGGAACTCGCGAATAATCGAGTTGAACTTCGCGATCAGATCCTCCATTCCTTCCAGTCTGTGCTGGCCCAGAGATGAGAACTGGTGGATCGTTGTGAACATGTCGATGAGCTTCATCACACGCCGACAGAAGAGGTCAAACTTGCCGAAGATCTTCATCTCGTTGAACTCAAACTGCTTGCCCTTAGGCGTCGCGAAGAGCTTGTCTTTGGTCACTCGATACTGCTGTTGATAGGCCTCGTTCAGCTTAAGACAAGAGTCCAGATGACGGACGAGTTCCTCAGGGTCTTTATCCCACATGACTTCATAGTTTTCACCTCCAGTTACGCAGTGTTTACAGTTAGTGATCATCTGGTTAGTGATCTTAGTGAACAAGTTGGCCATCCGCTCAGTTGTATTGTAGTATCTCGCGATCGAGTGGATCATCTTGATCGAGTTCATTAGCGCTGGCAGCGTGTCGATGATGGAGCTGGGCGTGCCGTTATATAACGGGATGATGAACTTCTCCAGTGTAAACAGATATTTCACGTTATCCTTGGCTTCATTGGCTGCTTCGGTGATGCCAATGTCGATCTGTTTCCATCGTCGTAGCAGCGTCTGGATACGCTGTTTAATGTCGTCACTGACGCTCTTTGTGGTCCTACTTAGCACTGCAAAGACGTCCTTGTATTCGTTCATCTTGAGTTGTTCCGTGATGCTGGTAAGGCGCTGCATGCGTCGTCTCCAGTACTCTAACTCGCCCATAGGACCATCATCATCGATGGTCTGATCATTGTTCCCTTTACCATCATTCGTAGTGTTGGTCTCCAAGTACGTCGAGATGACATCGCACCACTCCTTCAAAACCTCTTCATAGTGAGCGATCAACTTTGGCGAGTCAGCGACTTGCAGACTCGCTCGAACTCCACTCCCCCCATGTCCAGTACTATTCATTGTCTCTGCGAGTATACTACGATCAGGTCTTCTCAACTCGAGACCACTGTCCATACTGTTTAGAGCTTCTTTGAGGTCATTGGCAAATTTTTCAGACTCCGTCATAAATTCGTTTTTCAAGTCGGAATCGGCCTTTCCCCACTCGTCCTTGGCCTTCAAAAGGGGAGAAAACAACGAACTGATGGTCGTCTCGAGGTCTCGTAGGATATTGGGGGCCAATTCTCCAAAGCAAATGGAGTTGTCGCTGGCCTTTTGAACATCCACGGACTTCCCGTCGGCTGTGGTTCTCAGGAAAAAGCAGCATTTAGCTCGAATCGGGACGGAATTTCCCAGCGACGCACATAGTTTACTAGTGTTATTGCTACCAGCGTCTCCGTTACTTTGTCCATTCTCGACTACAGGTGCAGCCTGGTAGTGCACGAACACTTTGCACGCGTCTTTGCCACTGAGCAACTCGTCGAAGAGCTTTCGAGTGGCTGGAGACGCTAGAAATTCGTTCACCTCGGCTTGAGTCGCATTGGGCTCAAACGATTCCACGATGCGCTGGCTTATCCATTGCATCCGCGGGGTCGACATGGTCAACCACTTGAGTCTTGAGCCTCACCACGAAGATTTCTAACTGGGAAGAAGACGCCCAAGGGACCCACCCCTCCAGGAAGATCGAGGCGAAACGTACGCCCATCGATGCCATTCTCGCGTCACATAAATAGTTTGACATTTCGTTTTCTTTCTTTCTTTTAAAAAAAAAAATGGATTGTCAAAGGGATTGTATTGAATGCACCACCTTCTTTCTAAATGGTCGACGGATACAGTCATTACTTGAGCAAGAGCATTCCACTAAGTGGTAGATTTCAGCGGCAACGGAAAGTTTTTGTCGAGCCACAAGACGTAATCCGTGTAGAGCTTGTACACGGCATTGTCGTTCTCGAGACCCATTATCCACAATTTCTGGTACACAGGACCCTCGTCGAGTCCACTAGCTTTCCACTTGGCGAACAGCCTTTGAGCGAGTGCGGAGTTCGATTTGGCCCTATCGATCCTCGAGGCGTCAAAGAGGAATGCTTGGGCCGAGGTTAGCTCTGTGTCCTTGGATGGGTGGTGGATTTTTAGCCAGGCGCGGTAGTCCTTGTAAACCTGGGAGAGCTGCTTGTCCGTCGCAAAGCCCATGGCTTTGAATGTTTTGTAGACGTCGTCCCATTCGAGTCCATAGCGTTTCCATCTACCGAACAACACATTCGCGTACGTTCCGTCCGTGGACGCCTTTGTGATCTTTGCTTTGTCAAACAGTTTCGGATCATTCTTGGTAGGATGAAGTTTGAGATACTTGCGGTAATCCCATAGCATCCTCAAGCTTTTCATTTCGCCATGGATACCCAGCTTTTTGAGCTTTTGGATAAATTCAGTTTCCCCAAATCCATAACGCTTTCACCTCCGGGAACAGCGATTTGGCGTAGTTGGCGTCGTCCGATGCACGCTTAAATTTCTCAAGATTGAACATGTTATTACCCTGCAGCCTTTCTTCGACGTCGCTTTGACTCCGCAGGAACCGCTTTACATTGGCACTACTGTGACTCTCAGCGATCAAGTCTAAGTCTGTGGTCGTCATTCCGGTAGCTTCAGTGTCCTGCACGGCTCCAATCGCAGAGAGTGCGTGGGCACCGGTAACTGTGCTCAACGCAGCCACTGTTAGAAGAACAGATACCAGACGCACGCATGGTCGATTCCTAACACACGAGAGAAGCCACACGCCACAATACTTGCGGAGCACAAAGGAAATTCAGGAATGAGAACGGAAAAAGCTGATCCTGCACGCAGCACAGCTCTGCTGTTTGTTAGCTCTGAAGCATCTGCCACTCCGACATGTTTTTGCAAGGATAACCCCCACCGACTTTCTAGTTTTTACTTCGAATTATATTTTGCTTTTACAGATTTTAGTACATGATAATTCTTCCCGATTAACTAGAATTTAGCATCATTAGTATTATGTTCCGAATTTACTTCGATCCATACATGTACAACACTCATTCTCCAACTACTGTAACCCCACTATGAGCAAATGTAAGCAAGCGTAACGCAGGTGTGTTATGATTTCTTTCAATAAAAAATTGAATGTTGGATTATTGTACTAAAGCGTGTTACGCGTTAACACGCATTCGATTGGATAAAAATGAACATCTGTGGAGCCACCAAATGCCTCACTGTCAATGAAGAAGATATGTCTAGCAGCGACCACGATGCGGCTACAGTCGACGCCTCCATGGAGGACGCGGCTAGACAAACGGGAATAAGAAGAAACCTCAGCGGGGACCAGGTCCGGAGTGCGTGCACGTCAGCCAATACAAAGAAGGCCAACCAAAGCTACCTCAAGGGGATTTCTACGTGGATTCACGCATCGCAGCCGTCACCAGACACCTTCTTTTGCGAGGATGGCAGCTTAAACCTGGCCATGTTTTCACCGCAGCACTTTGAAGACTTCCTTCTGTACAAAATTAACGAGGGAAAACTCAAAGTGTCCACTTTAAGCGGCTACAGAAGTTCTATAAAGGACGTGTATCGGCAGAAGCGTTTGGATTTACCCAGTGAATACTTAGATGACCTGAAAATACTATACCAAGGACTCAAGAGAGTGGAGGCTGAGGATGACCAATCGGGGCGCTCACGCAGACCGGGAAAGGAGCCACTATCTTACTCTTTGTATACTCAGCTGGCAAAGCTCACTTTGGCTCTGGAAGACAATGGATTTTTGCATCTTTTCCTACTGACACAATGGAATCTGATGTGTCGATCTGTGTCAGTGGAAACACTGCATCTGACGCACTTGCATTGTGCTGACGACAGCGTGGGTTGTGTACTCCACAAAACCAAGACAAACCAAGAAGGATCGGGCCCAAAGGACCCCCGCCACATTTACGCAAATCCATTGCAGCCATCATGCTGCTGGATGCTCGCATTGGGGCTGTACTTGGCGTCCAATCCAACTCTTGTACACGGAAAGCTCTTCCCCGGCTCCATCCAAAAATCTCGATTCAGCAAGACGATAAGCAGCTTGCTACAAGACATGACAGGCAAGAAAGTTTACGGAACGCATTCTATTCGGAAAGGAGTGGCTACATTTGCGAGTAGTGGGAGTACAGGTGGGCCATCGATAGTTAGTGTTTGTTTTTGATGTGGCTGGTCGCTTGGTGAAATGCAAGACCGATACTTTCGGTATGAATCTGCTGGTGACCAATATCTCGGTCGAGTTGTGGCAGGGCTGCCTCAAAACAGCTCACATTTTGGCGAATTACCTCCCCATTTTGATGACCCTCTCGACGATTTTGTAAGAAAATGCACGAGAAATATGTTTCGTGTTATGGCTGGAGATGCGCATATCGCGCCTGTGTTTCAACTCTGCCTGGCTTCAATTGCGGCCCATGCTACATTTCTGCGTGAAAATCTGAAGTCAAAGCACGCTGTATTTATGTCCTACGTATTTCGCAACTCTGATGTTTTGGATCAACTCACGACCCTACTAAATACTGGAGAGAGCACCTGGATGCGGCCAACGGGATCCCTCCGCACGTTGAACTCTATCGACAGCATGTTGAAACTCGCAAGGCGCTGACCGAGCTTCCGACTGTACTTCTCGATGGTTTCTCTAATTTACTAGACGATAAGTGTATTACACAACACATTATCACGAGGGATTCCCTGGGAGCTACAATTCAGTCAATTCTAGAGGAGACTGGATTATGGCAAAGCCATACAACCTTACAGCAAGCTGAGACTTCGTCTGATCCTACAACCATTGCTCATCATTGGAAATCGGATGGGAAGTTTCATCGAATGCCGGAGGCATTTATCTTTCCGTAGGTAGGCGCACTCAGTGTATGGCGTCTTTGGTGGCTAGGAAATCCCGCAGCTGGTAACCCCCCCCTTTTAGACGCCTACAGCCGTCGGACTTCACGAAAGGCAACCGAAAGATGTTCTCCGAGTGGACTGTTCTAGTCCGCCACATAGTGGCTGGTGTCACGCGTGCCACACAGCAAAGCATTTGCCGCCCCACTACACAAGAGGAGGTTGGTTGCATGTACCGCGAAGGAATCGCTAACGTGCCGATGAAGATGCCAGCACACCCAGAAAAACAGCGACCTGAACGTGCAGTGACCACGCTGCGCCGTATACGACAGGCAATTCATGACAGTAATCCGGAGGCGCGAGCTATACCCTTCTGCAAAAGAAAAGCAAAGAAGCGTGTTAGAAGAGAGCTCTTGTAATACAAAGTAACAGACTGCATTACCTTCAGTGTATCAATCGATCTTGTGCAGCATAAGGAGACCGATGCACTTGATGTTCACTGCGCACTTTTTCAAATGACAACATTGAACGTTCAGCGATATCTTTTAGCCAATCAAATTTCAATATTTTAACGTTACCAACCTGTGTTACAGGATCCCGACACAACTCATTGAGTCCCAAGTAAACGGCCATCCGATCTCATGTTAAAACGTGATCAATGCAATCGATTACCTCTATGATAAAACGAAAGACATGCACGGGCTTGCACTGCAAGTAACTCGTCTTAGAATAGGGAGCGAACAAGGCCCGTCACTTTCCCCGCATAGCGACGATGTCGGTAGAAAGGAAGCATCACCTCACTTTCCCCACGTAGCGACGATGTCGGTAGAAAGGAGGCACCCCACCGCGAATGCCATTCAATCATGTGGATTTTAATGGAGTCAGCACTATTTAACATCATATAATATGTCGGAGGAAAAACGGACCGTTGTTTCGGCTCAAATGGACCGTTTATGACTTGTTTGGGCAATTCGTATCACGTGAATACATTTGACAGTTGTTCCTTCAGATAGTGATAACACACTTATAACCGCTTAGAGATTCCGGTGCGAGTCTTGATTCATAGTTCAACATATCCAATGTCGCAGTAGCTTCAACATTCAGAAGCTGATATGAGCCTATAAAGATTTATGAGGCTAAAAGAAAGTAGTGAGTGCGGCTAACTGGGGCAGCACTGCACTACCTTCTTGGTTGTGATTCTACTAAAGTGCAATATCTTCAAAATCTAGTACATTCAAATCCTCCACCAACCTTGTGGTAATCTTGAATTATATATGTATTCAATACATATACATGTACAAATATGTTAATTGAGCGCTTCGAAATAGTAATAAACGTGAAATGTGCACTCTTTAGTTTCCTATTATTGCTACTTTTAGAGGATCCCCTTTAAGCTCCTCCGGCCCTCAGACGACTTTTGACGAAGTAATTCCCGAAGAGGGACACTACGTAAGGGTAGTCTCCCATGATTGTTTGTTTTGTACAGGCTTGAACTTAAACACCTTATATTTGTCAATTGGAGCCTAATCTAGGGGAATCACCGCGATAATACATATTATACATGTATTTCAATGACCCAACGTTATACCAGTATTTCAGTCACAACATCGCATCCTCTTTTATGTTGATCTGTTGTGCCATCTAGCGTCACGAATGCAATGGTACTAGAACCGTATATCGTCGGCCCGATATGGTTGATTGCTTGTAAGTTCCAAATGATAGTTGACAAGCCAATTAGCTGCTTTCTTGTATGCCCTGAATGATGAGACCGGCTATGTATCTGCCACTTGTTCGCTAATCTCCTGGTCAATGAGTACCAATGCTCCTGGTTTCCGCTCTTGGGCGGTCTTGTTCTCTGAATGAGGCCCAATATCATGGCACTATCACCCCATATGCACATTGCTTACACCCCTATGGTGTAGTGATTTCTAAGTAATTGCGGAAGTGGCTACATTAAAGTTGCTCAAGCCACGAACGGTCGGTCACGCAACAGGCGGTGACTATGGTGCTTGACAGCCAAAGGATACAGAGCTGACGAATTCTTGTCCGGCCCGACAACGACCAATATATCACACAAATCGGGTGGTCGGTATCGGTGAAGCTGGATTTGCATTCAGTGATCAGGAACCGACGTACTTCGGTACTACGACTCGGTGATGGTTGAAGCAACTCTTCGATGATGTGACTAGCAATTGAATTGCTTTGCGGAGACCTGGGAAGACACAAGGACAGTTGAGACAACTGTTAGCATGTGTAGCGATCCGTAAAGGATCCTTGCTCGCTAGATATGCGTATACTTGGTTAGGATTGCATATTAGGAAGAGACCGAAAGGTAAACACAAATAACAAACCGAATATCCATCCAAGCACAGAGCGCCAGGTTCGGATTCATGGCAAGCGTCTGGATAAGCTTGTTTAGCCGTGTTATACGTGTCGGTGGACTCGGAGCTAACTAGCGAGGGTTAATCCGACAAGTGCAAGAGTGTGTGTTGGGCGATTGTATATCGAAAGTTTACGTGACGGCTTTATTGTGCCTCTTTGTGCGTATTGGGGGGAGCGTGTTGCTCCCCAAATATTCTTCCCGTCGAGTATTAAAATTGGACGCCTTCGTAAAAGGCTTACCCGTGCCTGATATCCTTTCGCTGTTGGGACCACGAGGATTCAAAACACCATCTAGCATTGTTCGTGCTAGTAGCGTTTTCTTACATTCAATGGTTGGCCTATATAAGCGCTTTGTAGGTCCAGTCTGTCCCTTTGCTAGGGCTGCGTCTGGGCCTTCAGATCACGCCCGAACGATCGTTTGCCGTCCTGGTAGACATATTGTTGGGTTTGTTCTACCTACACTAGTAGCTAGAGCTAACGCGTGAATTACAACATCACACCCCATATTTCCGTCCGTCTAACAAGCCGGTGAAGGCACACCAAAACGGCGGTGTAGCAGGATAAGCAAAATCTGCGAGATTGCACGATCACCACTTGTACCCAGACCAACTGACGAAGGGGTGCCCCGATGGCCCGCGATTCGCTGAACTAGCTCACCTTGTATAACCGCCGGTACAGTAGCATCTTGCTTCTCTCGTATCTGTAGAGATGTTCAAGTGGGTGAAGCTCGAATGTCTTGGTGAGACGTGGAGAATGGGTGGAGTAGTAGCGGAAGGTCTTTACTCTACATCCGATGTAAGGTCCAGATCCCAAGCAAATACTTCGTAGGATCTGGCGGTCTTGAACCGCGATCTTGACCGTAGGTAGTCTTGTGGGTGTGTTTCCTTGAGTTTCCTTTTCGTCGTGCTTGCCGCTTCCTTTAGCGGGATCTTGATGGTTAAGGGTCGATTGGGAGCCCCGGCCAAGCAGTAAATCCGGTTAACCTCCTTCATCTGGACTTGTAAGGGAACGTTCACTAGGTGGTATAATCTGGCCAAAACACTGTTCAGGTATCACAACCAACACTGAGCGTCCAATGTCGTTCCGGATCTTAAGGGCAGGAGGACACGTGTACAACACAATGCAAATTCGACTCTGATTTATAGTTAGGTCCTATACACCTACTGTCTCTACCATCCCAACCGCTAGATCCCTTATCTTCACCTATGTACCTGCTCTTCCTTGTTTAACTTCGTCGTCCAGCTGTCCTCGGCACCGGATATTGGCCGATCTGCAGCGTAGGCCTCGCCTTTATCTGGACCTTGGCGGATCTGGCTCGATCATGACACATACACTCCAGATCATAACACATATACTCGAAATTTTGATGATTTTGGTCACTCAGGATGCGTCGCGTTAGTACCCATCTTGATCCACCTACTACAAACCTTCATCATGATACTCCAACTGCCGATCGTCCTTGATCTGGTGTCGTCGTCCGGGATTCACGGTTCTATGGCAGAATCTTGCTAGATCTCTCCGCATCGGGACCCATACACCCCAAATCCCGACGATTTTGGACATCTGGAGCATGTTGATGCAAGATCCATCTTGATCTACCTCCCGCAAGCCTTCATCGGGCTCTTCCACTTGCCGATCGTCCTGGATCTGGCGTCGTAGTCCGAGATCCGCAGCCTTACGGCTGGATCGTGGTAGATATCTCCAAATCATGACGTCTACACTCCTCATGATCTTGGTCATCCAGAGCATGTGGAGGTAGGATCTGTCTTTATCTAGCTTCCTTGCGTCTTCATCATGGTGTTCGATACGTAAATCTTTCCCATCTAGGCCTCACTGTTCAGGATCTGCAGGATCCACTCATACATACTCGAGAATGCAGGATCTACGATGTCGGACACCTGGATCGTCAGGATGTCATTCTACCATGTCCGGATCTGAAACTCTTGACTTCGATCAGGTCCACCATGTTATCGTAACATCCAATGTCGTGATCCTTGACCCAATCGCCCTGATCTAGTTGTCCAAGTTCAGGATCTTCAAAGTCCATCCTGTTATATCGTCGTTCTTCACTTGGCAACACGAGATCTCGGGTTTGACGGATCTCTCCTCATCATATCTTGAGTTACGCTATTGAGGCATTTTAGTGAGTCACCGTCGTCATATCTGACTCCATCGCGGCGTCCTTCGTCCCAATCCATCAATCTCATGCCCAATCTACTTCAACATCGCCATGTCCGGTTTGGACGCGTCACTAATCCGGAACAGCGACCATCCATCATATTCCATCTTCTCATTCTTCAAAAAGTATTCTACCACACGTTGGGTTGAGCTTTATCGGCGTCAGTCATCACGAATTTCGGTGAAAATGGAATAGCAAATAGCTGTATAACAGCTCGCTCAGATACGAAAGAACCACGCGGCATCTTCCGCACGTCGCTGAGACGCGCAAAAGTAGACTAGAGGAGTGAACCGCACACAACTATCGGATATGCCAAGGATGATGACGTTGTACTTCTGACGAACCATGTTGTGTGTGCTATCAACGTGTCGAATAGTGACACATGGAGGGTCTTGTTGTGCGTTTATGTATGCTTCCAGACGTGAGTAGCAGGTGAAACCCATTCGAAAGGGATTATCATTGGACACATCGCTGGTATTTGGTACGAGGCTGCTCCCTCTCGTATCGAATCACAAAATATCAATAAGGTATCACCAAAAATGTCTGCATTTGCAACAACTTCGAACATCCGAGCTCCACAAATGTCGATAACAGTTTGCATTGGATCACCTCGGTTTTTTTGTCGGCGGTATTTCATGGAGCCTTGTACCTGGGTTTCTAACGGTTCTTGACCCGGTAGCGCAGCGCAAATTCTTTTGAATACCACATGAGGTGCTTCAGCATTGTTGCGATTATCGCTTCGTCTACCAGAGCTTTCACTCTCGTAGATAACCCTCTCTTTGCTTGCAGAGGAGAATCAGCGCCTTCATTCGTTGTGTGCTGGCAGTCCAGAACTACAGTTACAAAGTCGCTCGCTTGACACTCATTTATTTTGTAGCGGCAACGACATTTAATCTCGCTGAGAGTGCATACGAACACGCTGTAATTATTGTGCGCATTGATGTGGCGTTTGATGTAAGGTGTATTGTCCAAGCTCTGCGTAGTTCATTGTACATCTATACGGATTGTTTTTCTCTACGACAAAGCTTAATAGACTCTGCTTTAAATCTCCGTAGGCTGCTGTTCTGTGAACTCGAAACATGAAGCCAAGTTGGACGACGACGGGTACACGCACTAGTATTGTATTCAACTCCATCGACAAATTGGCCCTAGAGGTAGGATTTATTAGTTTTAGACTACCACTACTGAACAAACACCAGTTATCGAACCTCAGATCCTCTGGAACTATCAGAACCCAAAGAGCTGAATCGCTACACGACTCTGATTGACTGCTTGTGTCTGACATGTTGGACGAGGACGTAGTCATGCCCATTCTGGGAAACACTAGAGGTGTGTTGTGCTCGGACGACTCGGGAAAAAAGGTCAAGTCGTGAATGCAAATGGACGCACTCAGTTCTAGCACTATGGGTGGTTATATCTGCCATAAATATATTCCGGCGATAAGCCAGTCAATCTTATCGTTGATGTGAGTTTAAAAATACCCATGATATGTTTCAGAGTACAAGACCTTCAGGATAAGTATTTTCGTCCTGCCTAACCCTTCAGTGCCACTCGCTGCATTTTCAGTGTTGCAAGCTAATCCGCAAGTGTTGACGACTGTCACTCTTTCAGAAGTTCTTCCCATCCCCCAAACCTTGCAAAAAATGCGCTAGTCACGGACCGATATTGGGTAAACAGCAAGGAAATAGGCACTCCCAGTCAACCGCAGATATTAAGGGAAGAAAAACTGTTACCTCCTCTTTACGTGCTTCCACATCACTATAGCGTTAACAGTGGGGAACTACCCAGTCGTGCTTATGCCAGTGTTCCAACGCTTCCTGTCCCCAAATCGTATATTAATAGAATACATTGGTCACCTGCCAAAACTTTCTTATGCTCGCATTGTGTCGGACCTTACATAGTTGGTAGGTTATTTAGACGTGATTCCAGTCTCAATAAATCGCCTGATATGAACAGGCGTTGATACCTCAAATCGTGCAACTGTCATAAACTGTTTTGGGTTTTGTATTGTCAATCGTATTTAATCTGAATATGCCATCTGGTCGGATACCACTGTCATATTGCCTACCTCCTTCATATACTACCTGTTCAAATTTAATATTTTGATGTGGCTTTTGGCCTTCGATATGTAGAAAGTTTTGATAAGCGCCCATTACCTATGTAATTCTTGATAGCTAAACAAAAGAGTGTCTAACAGGCTTACTATACCGTGTCAAGCAATTTGATATTACAGTTGAAAGATACACATACACACAAGTACAATCATGAACGGTTACCTGGACCCGGCCGAGCATTGAAAGCTCAATAATCGTACAGAGTAATTTGTTGTATCACTTTAAACAGGTATTTCTGCACTGATTTATACAGGGTATGTTTCGAGAATAGTCCCATTGTATGGGTTCATCAGACGATAGCAGAAAGCAACTTATCAAGGTGACTTGACATCATACATTGATAAGACCGAATTAATAGCGCTCCACTCGGACTATGAATCTCAACTGTAAATATTGGATGATTTATCCCTACTCCTTTGCATAAATGACCGCCATACCCGTGTCAATTCAATCATACATGAGCAAGAAACCTCCGCATGTTTGGATTGGTTGGAGGTCGTTTTGCTTCATCTGAATTCTTAAATT